AAACATTTTGGTTTCTGAGTGTTGTTACTGTGTTAAAAAAAAAAATCAGGGGAGGGGAAAATGCTCCAGAGCATCTCATTTAATCTTTAACTAGCTATGCTATTTAGCACTTCTTAACTAGACCTGTAGGCAGACAAAGTTCATAAAATAATTTGGAGTGAAATACTGTACTGAATGGATGTGTTTTCTATGATAATAGATGGATCCCCAAGGGCATCAAATATCTTGCCTGCTAATACTTTTTCCAGCACAAGAACGTGGCGAGTCCACAATTCTCTGGCTGTACAAGAGGTCAGGAGAGTGGCTTTGCAATCCTGAGCCACTGGGAGACAAATTCTCCAAAATTAACTCTCTCCCCAGCTGACCACTCTAAACCCAGACTTCATAGGCACAATAATGACATGGTTCAGTGAGGTTTTCAGGGAGGAGAGGGTGGTAGAGGTTCTATTTTCTGAGACCAGGATATCCTAAGCAGAGAAATAAGGGAAATAAATATCAACCTTGGGTCCCGATGTGTCATAACCAGATTGTGTGTGATGCTGGCTGGCACTGACCTTTGCAGTTGAGCATTAGCCAGAATGGCTCTATGTTGTAGGGCTTTCCCCCTTTTTGTTTCTTTGTATAAAACCAGGGAGGGAAATAATTGAGTAAAACCCAAGTGTCTTTCTTTTATTTCACTTCTCTGGAGACTGTAATCCCGGAACTGGAAGGACTCGCTTGACGCTTGATTTGTTAACGCAGTGACTGCCTAAGCTTGCGTCTCCTAGTCTTTTTGAACCTGCAGCTCCTTTCAGTGAGCATGAAGGTTTCCCACCTCCTTGAAGAGTCTGATTTTCTCCCTCCTCCCCACCTTGCCACCTCCTTGAGACTTGCATGTTTTGGGAAGTCATGGCAGCGGAAAAGATGTTACCAAGCTGTATTTTCTATAGTTTTCATTACGGAAACAACAGGCATGTGTGGGCTTTCCAAGCATATCAGTGTGTATTACATAGCTGCATGTGCGTCTTCACTTTACGTTGCACTTTTCGTGCTGACAGATCACCATTTGTCCAAAGCATCCTGCTATTTCTGAAGGCTCATAGATCTTCTTTAGGCCGTTGTGAAAACTCCCGAGGGGACTGTTTGTCACCATCCCCGATGGCTCAGTTGTGGCCACTTCATGGGCCCTTTTTTCTCTCCTGTTGAAGTCTTTTTCTCTGTTGGAATCAGTTTTAGAGCTGTAACTGGACTTACAGACTCATCTAGTCCCATCCCTGGATTTTATAGAAATGGATGTTCAGAGAGTTTAAGCAGCTTTTCCAACATTACCCCACTATGTTTACACTGCAGGTCCTGAGCAATGACTCAGGTTGCTGAATCCCCTGCTCATTTTTTCTTTTTACTGTATTGTTCGTTACTTGAATCTTTCCTAGTTTATCCCACCCCCTTTAAAGATACCAACCAATATTACAAAGTAAATAAATGCCAATGTGGCATATGGCGAACTCTACCAAAATATTTCATATTCTTCTGTATATATTAATATCAAGCTTCCTTTACTTTATAGTAACTCCAAGGCTGAGAAAATAGTTGCTGTGAACCCATATTTTTGCCAAGTTTTAAAAAATCTTACAAAGGAAAAATATATAACGCCTAATTTCAGGTAGTTTAAAATTAACTGGGGAGACAAACATGATTTACTTTCAGCTTATGGCCACCTATAATCTCTGGAACCTTTTTTAAAAAATTTACAATGTTGTGTTTAATTTCTGCTGTATGGGAAAATGATGGGACCTTTTTAGATACGTTTGTAATTAGTGATTTCCAACTCTCCACCCCTAATCTGTAATTTATCCCTCCTTGAATTCTTCTGTAGTTCATCTACATCAAGAACAGTTTGAGAGAGTAGAAGGAATAGAAGAGAATTCACAGATCATTTACTGCTAAATTTAGTTACTAATAATATAAAACCTCAATTAATAATGAAACAGGGCTAGTGGAATTATTTTTTAGAAGGGGAAACTGAGGCTCGGCAAGGGTACGTAACTAGTTCAGGGTTATCATTACGTAGAGCAGTCTTGGAACTGAAGTGGCTGGCATCAGAGCCTCAAATCCTTTCAGCCCATGAAAGTAACAGCATAATAAAGTTGGAAAAAGCAAATAAAGCAAAATAGGCTTGTTGAAAATGACAGTTTTGTCACTGTGACGCTAGGACCCCATCACACTAGCTGACTGTGAAAAGCTTCTGAACATGCCCCTGTTCTGTGTGCTGTTTTCAAAACTGTGTGAAGTTTTATGTGAACAGGGCCTTATCGTGGTGGAGGAGGGATCTACAGAGCCGGATCATGGCTGGACTGTGCTTTCAAGATATCTGTGTTGAATTCGCCTTTTATTTATCTGAGAACTGAGTTGGAACTTCCCCAGTGGTCCATTGGTTGAAACTTTGCCCTCCAAGGCAGGGAGTGTGGGTTCCACCTCTGGTTGGGGAACTAAGATCCCCCATGCCTAATGCCCTGAAAACCAAAACACAAAAACAGTATCATAATGTCAACTAAAAAATGCACAACTGGAGAATAGCTAGTTAAGTTTTATTGGGGCAAAATGAGGACTGCAGCTTGGGAGCCAGCACGTCAGAGAGCTCTGAGAGATTTCTCCAAAGAGGCAGTGGGGGAAGGTCAATATATAATATTTTGGTGAAGGTGGAGTTCAATACAATCAAGTGCTTACTTTACAAAAGGCTTTCTGCTAGTCATGAGGAGCTGATGTCACCATGAGGGGATTTAGTGATTTTCTAGATATGAAGAGATGCAAGGATTGGGATCATGAAATCAGTTCCTGAAAATATCTAACTAAAGATCTAAACTATTATAACTAAAGCTATGACCAACTTAGCATATTAAAAAGCAGAGACATTACTTTGCCAACAAAAGTCCATCTAGTCAAAGCTATGGTTTTTTCCAGTAGTCATGTAAAGATGTGAGAGTTGGACTATAAAGAAAGCTGAGTGCTGAAAAATTGATGCTTTTAAACTGTGCTGTTGGAAAAGACTCTTGAGAGTCCCTTGGACTGCAAGGAGATCCAACCGGTCCATCTTAAAGGAAATCAGTCCTGAATATTCATTGGAAGGACTGATGCTGAAGCTGAAACTCCAATACTTTGGCCATGTGATATGAAGAACTGACTCACTGCAAAAGATCCTGATGCTGAGAAAGATTGAAGGTGGGAAGAGAAGGGGATGACAGAGGATGAGATGGTTGAATGGCATCACTGATTCGATGGACATGAATTTGAGCAAGCTCTGGCAGTTGATGATGGACAGGGAGGCCTGGCATGCTGCAGTCCATGGGGTCGCAAAGAGTCGGACATGACTGAGTGACTGAATTGAACTGAACGGAAAGATCTGTTCCACCAGATTCCCTAGAGCACAGAGTGCCTCACTCCACCTGAACGCCCTCAGCAACTGCTGAAGGTCAGCAAGCAGCTGCAGCCGCACTGGGTTCAGTCTCCACAGAGGCATTTGGCAAACGCGCTTGTTGTTCAGTCACTGGGACGCGCTCTCGGGAAGTGCCGATTTGTAGTTGACAGTAACAAATTCCTTAAAGGCTTTAAAAATGGTCCACAGTAAAAAAAAAAAAAAAAAAAAAAAAAAGCACTGAACCTGAAGCTAGACTGACATGAGCATGAGACATTGAGTCTCAGCACCTCAGGAGAAAAAAGGAATTTAGCATCTGTAATTGTCACCTAAAAGCAATCACTAGTCACAGAGTCTTGGAAAATGGGCTAATGAGACAGCAGATTTCTTTGGAGGAGAAAGCACCCATGGTCTTGTCAGCCCCCAGCAGTGTTTCCAGAGGGTGAAACTGGGAACCTCCATATTTCCTCAGGGTACTCTTGTTCCTAAGCTTTTCCCTGTAAATCACCAGCCCATTGTGGGATAATGTCACTTTGGAATTCTTCCATGAAGATGCAGGAAGGAGCAGTAAGGATCAATTGTTTTTGTTCAGTGACTAAGTCGTGTCTGGTTCTTGCGACCCCATGGACTGCAGCATGCCAGGTTTATAATGTCACTTTGGAATTCTTCCATGAAGACGCAGGAAGGAGCAGTAAGGATCAATTGTTTTTGTTCAGTCACTAAGTCGTGTCTGGTTCTTGCGACCCCATGGACTGCAGCATGCCAGGTTTCCATTCCTTCACTGTCTCCCAGAGTTTGCTCAGGTTCCTGTCCACTGAGTCGGTGATACTATCTAACCGTGTCATCCTCTGTCTGATGGAGACTGACACTGAAGCTGAAACTCCAGTAGTTTTGCCGCCTGATGTGAAGAGCCGACTGGTTGGGAAAAGCCCTGATACTAGGAAAGACTGAAGGCAGAAGAAGAGGGCAGCCGAGGATGAGGGATTCGATAAATCCACCCATATGCGAATGGAAGTTGTTTTGTTCAGTTGGGATATGTCTATATTGGTTAGCACCAAGGGTAGGCAAATTAAAATCTTTTTAAGTCTCCAACCAGGAAAAAGAAGGAACATGTGAGAAAAAGATAAAAATATAGACCTTCTTCTTCTGACTTACACTTTGGTGGGAATGAAAGCAATAGACCATCCCCAAAGAAGTAATCCTAGTTTAAAAAATCCTTGGTTCTCAAAAGCCTGGCATTGCATATTTGTTCCTATTTTGTTTGTAAAAGGTTTTAAAGGCATATGATGTAATGAAGTAAATGTTATTTTGTGGTTGAAAATTAAAGAGTTCTTTTGTATTTTAGGTCTTACAGGAAATCTCAGGGGTAGTGAGAACTGGAAATTGGGTATATTATGGGAAGGGGAATAAGGAAGATGAGGGGAAAACGTTCCAGCTCCTTTCTTCAGATAATTTTAAGCCATAATCCATCTCCGTCTCTCTCTCTCTCTACATATATATATATATATATATATATATATATACATATATATACACACACACATATACACATTTGCTTCCACTGATTTAAGATAAAAATAAGTAGATTTGTCCCCCAAATGTATTTCAGGGCCCTGTTAGCATCTCAGATGGAACCAACATTTGCCAGGAATGTTTTCCCTTGTTTTGATGAGCCAGCTCTGAAGGCAACTTTTAATATTACAATCATTCATCATCCACGTTATGTGGCCCTTTCTAACATGCCAAAGCTAAGTAAGTAATGTTTCCTATCATCTTGTATCTATATGTAATTATATGTTTATATAAATGTATACTTATATATTTTTATATGTGCACATATATTTGTGTATTACATGTTATATATATGTATGTGTGTGTGTGTGTGTGTGTATTTAACTCTGTAATAGATTTTACAACAGTAGATTTTCTTGGCAGTGTATTGGGAATGTATTTTAATTATGGCATATTATAACCAGAGAGGGCAGTCACCTAGGATATGTGTCAGCACTGACATCTTGGCGATGGTAAACACTGATCCCTTTTGTATTAGGAGCTGGGAACATTGTACTGTTTTCATACATCAGTATCCTGTCTGCCCATTAATTTGGGCTTCAGTCTCTTCATCATTAGTGATAGCAAGCTAGTGGACTTAGTCTAAATCTGGTACATAGATGTGGATTTTTTGTTCATTTCAGGGTTTTTTTGCTGTTAGCTCACAGCATTTTTTTTTCTTTTGGTTGAATTAGTATGCAACTTAAAAAAATTCTGCCATTTCTCATAAAAGTTAAAATCCTTAGTTTTTTTGGGAAACTCAGACCACCCAACAGCACTGGCCCTGCACTTCCTACATGCCCGTTTTTGTTGCAGGTGAGAAGAGGCTGCCCCCTGTGGTCAGAGCCTGTACCCGGCCTGCCTGTGGTCCCCACCCCTGCCTGTTACACACACCAGCCCATTCACACTGAGCACCTGGCCCTCACAGGCATTCGAGTTTTTGATTTCAGGTTCAGAGACCCCAGTGGGACTCCACTGAGACCTGCCCAAAACCTGAGAATGGCAGAATTGTACCTTGTTGACCTGCTACGGGTCTGGGAAACTCTGATTAAGTGCTGAGAGAGACGGGCTGAACTAGGAAACAGCAGTGGATGGAAAGAGAGAAAGCAGCTCACGGGCCTGACTGACAGCTGCTCATGGATTTGCCCTCCACCCAGACCACATTACTCATGGTACTAATTCAGAACCAAGAGTCTAGTCCTTGGTGGTGATGGTTTAGTCACTAAGTTGTATCCAACTCTTGCGACCCCATGGACAGTAGTCTGCCAGGCTTTTCTGTCCATGGGATTCTCCAAGCAAGAATACTGGAATGGATTGCCATTTCCTTCTCCAGGGGATCTTCCTGATCCAGGAATTGAACCCGGGTCTCCTGCATTGCAAGCAGATTCTTTACTGACTGAGCTAGGAGCGAAGCCTGACTCTGTCCTTAAGCCTTCCTAATAGATAGCTCAAAAGTAGAGAAATCCAAGCTATTATACCGTGGGGAGTAGTTGGGAAGACCGTAGTTGAGTGGTTGTCGACTTGACAAATTGTTTCAAAGGTAGATAATTGTGTTCCTTAGTGCTTGTTTACAGTGATTTGGACTAAAATCAATTTCTTTAGGTCAGTCTGAGAAAGAAGATGTGAACAGAAGCACGTGGACTGTTACCACCTTTCACACCACGCCCCACATGCCCACTTACTTGGCTGCCTTTGTCGTTTGCGACTATGAACACATCAGCAGGATTGAGAGGGGCAAGGAGGTGAGTGAGGGAGACGCTCCAGGCGCGGGAAACTCTGTGCTGGCTGCAGGCCATTCGCGCACTCCTCGGGTCAGGGGCTGCACCCACGTGGTCACGGACCTCTCCTGCCCCTTCCCCAAGCCCTGTCACTGCTCCGAGACCTCTCCTGCTCCTTCCCCAAGCCCTGTCACTGCTCCGAGACCTCTCCTGCTCCTTCCCCCAAGCCCTGTCACTGCTCTGAGCATGATGCTACGGAGCGGAGCGCAGCCTTTCCCCGGGGGCTCTGCGGAGGGACGTCTACAGAAAGGCTGCGCCTCACGTCCCCTAGAGGCGGGTTCTGAGCCCCTTCTTCCCCGCCCGCTACCTTTCAGAGCACAGAGAGAAGCGGGGAAGGGGCCGCACTAGCATGCTGAAGCTCAGGTTGCCTGTTGTCTCCCTTGCCTACATGCTCCTGGTACCACGCTGGGCAAGATGATGCCAAGCTGACGCCAGCTGGGGCAGCTGCTCTGGCTGAACTGCGGGCAGGTTAAGCACCGTCCCTATGAAGGAGCAGGCCTGCTGGGTATGAACACTTCCCCAGAGTTGTGGAAATAGGTGCTCTGTCCTGGAACACCTAGTTTTCACCCAGTTGTACCTCTGTTACGTAATAATCCTTTGGGAAAATACCAAGGTGATTGTAACCGTACTTTATGGACTGGTTCATAAAGTGTGGGGTCAAGAGTGTAGAGTCAAGAGGCTGAGGCTGTCTCCTGGGCGCGTGAACCTCCAGCCTTTGGCTTGTGCAGATAAGGAAGCTGTGAATGAACCAGCTCTTATCACCAGGGGAGAATTGCTCAAAGTTCCTCCTCCGAAGGATGAATGAATAACCCTGCATTAGATGCAAAGGACAGCTCATTATCATCCTCAGCTGTTGGCTCCAGCCTGATTTCCCTTATTGAATAATCACTGGTAGGTCCTTGATATTCGCAGATATAACCTGGGCCAAGTCAAACATTGATGACGTACATTGATAAATCCATGGAGACTCGGTGTGGAAACCTATATGCTCTGTACCTGGTATGAAGCGGTGACTCAGCACTCACGAGCTGTCAGCATCCTCATCTCTGTTGGCTTGTTGCTCCCAATGCTGCTGCACAGTGAATAATTCTTATAAACGGATCATATCTGTTTCTTCATGAAAGATCACCCTGCAAAGAAAGCTGCTATGGAAGCAAAGAGAAAATGGAACATGCTTAAGAAAGTAATGGTCTTAGCCAGAAAATTGAAATTTGGGATGAGTTTATCAGTGGAATGTTGTCTTTGGCTATGACTCAGTTCTGGAAAGCTAAGGAATTCACCACATACTCTACAGGGAACCAGACTGTGCTCTTGGAAGAGCATCCAGACTCTACAAAAAGGACTCCCTAAATAAGAGAAAAAATTTAGCAAAGTTGAAAATGTGGTTCATGCGTGGCATGAGAATAAATATAAGACACATAACTAAGGTTGGAAATGAGAAATGGAATATTTTCTGCTATATCAATAGAGACGGATGTCATTGCTAAGTCAGTTCGGTTGTGTCCGACTCTGTGCGACCCCATAGACAGCAGTCCACCAGGCTCCGCTGTCCCTGGGATTCTCCAGGCAAGAACACTGGAGTGAGTTGCCATTTCCTTCTCCAGTGCGTGAAGGTGAAAAGTGAAAGTGAAGTCGCTCAGTCGTGTCTGACTCTTTGCGACCCCATGGACTGCAGCCTACCAGGCTGCTACGTCCATGGGATTTTCCAGGCAAGAGTACTGGAGTGGGGTGCCAGTGCCTTCTCCAGAAGGATGCCATAGTCATCAGCAATTGCAGCCTTCCAATGTGAGCTGGTGAGCCCTGAGGGAACTCAGGTAGGGAAAGAATACCTGTCGTATAACAGCCATTAGATGACAGCCACTCCCCAGGGTGAGCCCCAAGGAAGCTCAGGATGTGAAATACACAGGATGTCCGCCACAGATAGCTGAGGCACATATCAAAGGAATGATTTCAGTGAGCCCAGACTCTTGCATCTTCCCATACAAGAAAGTGCTACATTCCTTAACTTGGGATGTCTGGGGTTTTCTTTAATTAACAGCAATCTTTTGATGTTCAGACCACCTGCCCTTTGTTGCAAAACTTCTATATAATCTGACTCCTCCCCTCGCCTCCTCAGAGCAGTTTTCTCTGGTTGCTTGAGATGCCGTCTCCCGGGCTTGAAGTCCTAAAAATTTCTGCCATAACTCTCAACTTTTAGGGTGCATATATTTTTTCATTTGACAGTTATGGCAGCCATGAAGGGACGTGAACCCTCAGCTATCTGGGACCAGTACCCTGTTTTTCACATCTTGAGCTTCCTTGGGGCTGCTCACCATGGGGAGTGGCTACAGTCTGATGGCTGCTAGTGGCCAGGTGTTCTTTACCTTCCTGTGTTTTCTCGGGGCTCATCGGCTCATATGGGAGGGCTGCAGTCATTGACAACTGTAACATCTTCGTTTCCTGATACAGCAGGAAATATTCTGTTTCTCAGAAATAACATATTTAGAGTAAAGTTTATCACACATGTGCACGTGTAAAGATACCTCTCCTTTAGAGGTTGAGGTCTGCTGGGTCTAAGCAGGACCACAAGGACACACTGGTGGGCTAGCTGTGATTTTGAAGGAACTTTTTCTTCAAAATGTCCCACACATACTTGTGATCCTCACTGCCCTGCCCCTCCCCCACAGCTTGAAATAATCATTTGCCTCCACTGTGGCTTAGAGTGGTCATTTGTGGGAGGAGCCTATAAACTGGAAATTTCTATACACACATTATTACTGCCTTCCCTCCCAAAAGGCTACAGTTAATATGCACATATTGTCCTGAATGTGGTGACTGTTACCTCCACTCAGCAGTGTGGGCTCTGGTTTAGATGTCCTCCTGACTTTGCCCTGGAGATTAGAGCTTGAGACAGGGCAGGTACAGGTAGTGTAGGGGCAAGACTGAGGCCTTGGGGTGGGAGGAGGCTGGAAGAAAGGAGAGGATCCAGGCAAGAGGCTTCTAAAACAGGTCGTTACGTTTTGTGAAAGGGAAGCATTCCGAAGCCCTCATGTCATTCAAGTCATAAAACGCAAGACAAACTTTCCAACAGAAATAAAAGCAAAGACAAGTGAACGTTTGGTTGGAGGACAGCGATCTGCAGATATTGTTGTGCTGCTTTTCATTTTCTTCACGTTGTCTCTTGTGTTTTGTAGAGAGCTCTTTCCCAAATTAACTGTATTCACAATCAGGACGATTATCTTAATTCCCTCCTCGCTAACTTTCATTCTAGAGTTAGGTGTTTGATACGTGTGTGTAAGTATTGACACTAGCAATTCCATTTAAAAGTGCTCAGATGGTATTGTTGAAGGGGTACCATGATTTCAAAACAAAATGACAATGGATGGTAAAACAACATCAAATTAGTCACCAAAATAACACAAACAAGTTGAAGCACCCAAACAACAGTACAGTCACACTAAACTAACAAAACATGGCAGGGATTTCTTTCCATCTACTACTAGCATGAAAGTGTCATATACAGAGGATATAATTTGCTTGCTTTAATAACTGTAGAAGTCATGAGACTTTTGATGAACTTTTTAAAATTAACCTTATTTCAAATTTTGAAAATAAGATAGGACTATTCATGTTTTGGGGGCTTCCCATGTGGCACAGTGGTAAAGAATCCACCTGCCAATGCAGGAGATGCCAGTTCAGTCCCTGGGTTGGGAAGATCCTCCGGAGAGGGAAATGGCAACCCACTCCAGTATTCTTGCCTGGGAAATCCCATGGACAGAGGAGCCTGGTGGGCCATAGCTCGTGAGGTTGCAAAGAGTTGGACACGACTGAGCACACTTGCGTTCATGTTTTTTATTAACAAATCATTTTAAATTTGCATGATTCACATTTGTTTCATATGTTCTATATTCTGTAACCCCTACTAACTGCACAACTCTGTTTTGAATCACTGGAAATATGTCCTGAAAAGGGAAGCTAGGATCCTCAGGGCCCTTTTACTCAATGTAGGGTCCATGTTTTCTGCGGGGGTGGATACCACTCCCAGGATTTTTTTGATTTATCTTTTATTTATGTTTGGCCGTGCTGGGTCTCCGTTGCTCTGCAGGCTTCTCTGTAGCTGCTGCTAGCAGGGGCTGCTCACTGTGGTGTGCGGCTTCTCGTTGCAGTGGCTCCTCTCATTACGGAGCACGGCCTCTGGCATGGCACGCGGGCTGAGTAGTTTCGGCTCCCGGGCTCCCGAGCACAGGCTCAGTAGTTGTGGCACCCTGGCTTAGTTGCTCAACAGCCTGTGGGATCTCCCTGAATCAGGGGTCAGACCTGCATGGGCAGGCTGACTCTTCACCACTGAGCCACCGGTGGTAAAGCCCCCACCCCCACCCCCTGCAACCAGGATTAGTTTTGAATTATAGAAGTTTTACATGTTATTGCAAAAGATTGAAATAACACACTTTCTGGAGAATCACTGTTCCCAACTTAATGAATAGCCTCCAGGGCTTTTCTCATTGCATGGACACATGTAAACATTTTATCGTGCAACTTCTTCTGAAAGATAACCTTTGGCTCCAGAGCATCAGGAAATTGGAGCAAGCAGGCTGCCACTTTCCAGAATCACTGTACATATTGCTTTTCCTAATCACTGCTTAATTGTTTCTGTCTAGATACGCATCTGGGCCCGGAAAGATGCCATCGCAGATGGAAACGCAGACTTTGCTTTGAACATCACAGGTCCCATCTTCTCTTTTCTGGAGGATTTATTTAATATCAGTTACCCTCTTCCAAAAACAGGTGAGGTATCTTCCCTTACAGTGCGTTTGATTTCCTATTATGGGTGCTCCAGGTTGAGATCAAAAGATATCTAGATGAGCCTCCAAGGACCCGCTGGCATTTTGCTGTTTTTGCTGTTTTGGAGTCAGCCCTGCTGGCTTCCCGTCTCGTGTCCTACACATTCCTAAACACGCAGAGGCCTGCCTGCTCTCTCTCTCTCATGCCGTGTGACTGGCTGGTGCTCAGAGGGCTCCCGGCTTCAGGTCCCTCCTGGGTGCTCGCTGGCAGCTTACGTCCTCCAGACCTTGCCTTCTCCCTGGCTTTCTGTCCTTTCATCTCATACCGCAAGCATGCAATACAATGTTCTGGATCCTTTTAACTGCTTGCATAAATTACTCCAGTTCCCTTTAGCAAAGTTTTGTTGTTTTTTTCAAAATATGTTTTTTAGCTGTGAGTCATTGGATTAGAACTTGGGGGTCCCATCCGTGAATTTTTGTTGTATAAAATTGGAATCATGTGTGAACAGAATACGATCCTCGAAGGAATATGTAAACATTTTATTTCTCATAGATCTGTATGGAATGTCCTTAAAATTATGTGAGCCGCTCAGCTCAGAAAATTGTTCCACGTTTTTTCTCTCTCGCTTGAGGGTATCATGTCAGTGTTCCTCTGACAGGTTATTTAGTCGGAGTCTTGGGAGAAAGTATGCTTGGCCTTTATTGGCAGACAGTGGAAGAAGGTGGGGAATAAAACTTAGGGCACTCCAGGCTCCTGAATGCCGTGTAGCCAGGGCCTTTGCCACTCAAGCCTTCCGTCTGAGGACGGACAGGGGGCCAGCCGTGCCTGCTCGTGGATCCCAGAGGTTACACCTGTCATTTAGAGAGTCGGAGGCAGGGACTGTGGCAGGCCAGTGGTTAAACCTCTTGAGTTTCTACTGCAGGGGCCACAGGTTCAATCTCTGGCCAGGGAACTAAGATCCTCGATCCCGCATGCCACACAGCACAGCCAAAAAAAAAAAAACTAGAAAAAGAAGGAAAGAAAGAAAGTTGGCAGCAACAGGAATCTGAGCATGGAGACCAAGTTTCTGGCACTTCTGTGGCTGGAAGATCTCAAGATTAACCTTGTCTAGGCAAGAAAATTTCTCTTTATTTAGATAAGGAGAAGTCCAGCGTTATTCTTGATATCCTCTTCTTTCAAAGCATCTCCTCCATGCAGTTAGTTACCTCCTTATTATCTCCCCCTCCACCCCCTTCTTTTCCACCCCCTTCATTCTCCCTAGTTCATGTCACCATAGTCTCGACCACAACCGACCTTGCTTAGTTTGACCATTGTCCCTCTTTTCTCCTCCAATTCATCCTCTGCTCTGAGGCCTGAGGGATCTTTCCAAAGCAAAATCTGATCTTGTTACTCCTGTTTAAAACTTTTCTGTGGCTTCCCATTGCCCTGGGGATCAAGTCCAAACTTCACACCCTGTCTTTAACAGAGCACCTCTTGCCAACCTCTCGGGGCTTTTGACAGTTTCTCAGAGTTGGAGGGCTGCTCTAGCAGCGTCTCTGTCCTCTTCTACACTTTTATCTTCTTCTCTTCTTGGTCAGGCTCTTGCACATTCAGTTTACACATCCTGCCATTCCTTTTACCCACCTTGTTGATTCTTATATTTCTCAATCCAGTGCCTCCTCCTCCAGGAAGTCTTCCCTGATTCTCTCTCTCCCAAGCTTCCACAGCATCCTGTGCATCCTGCATTCAAGTTCTTGAGCTACTAGATCCTAATCATCTCTGCATTAGGTCAAGGGCAAGTTGAGGGTCGGGGTCTGGGCTGTCCTTTTTTAAAGCATCTTCTGAGCCTATGACACTGCTTCTCTCAGAGTTGTTTAGTTGTTAAGTCATGTCTGACTCTTTTGCAACCCCATGGACTGTAGCCCGCCGGGCTTCTCTGTCCATGGGATTCTCTAGGCAAGAATGCTGGAGTGGGTTGCCATTTCTTTCTCAAGGGATCTTTCCAACCCAGGGATCAAATCCATGTTTCCTGCATTGGCAGACAGATTCTTTACCTCTGAGCCACAGGGGAAGCCCCTCTCTCAAAGTAGTAAACAGTAAACATTTTTTTTTTGTGGGGGGGAAAGATATGTTCAATGAGTTCCATAATTCCATGTAAATTCTGGCTAGATTACCAGTTCCTGGAAGTCAAGTTTATGTTGGCACTTTTTTTTCCCTGTACCTTTCATAGCATCTGACCCAGTGTTGCTCTATGAGCACGTGTAGGTGGTGCTTAGTCAAAACTGCCTTTTGATGGATAGATGATTACAATAGAGTTTCTCTATTATTGGATGTTTAAAAGGAAGATGAACTGATGTCTCCTAATTACTTTGACTTTTGGTTGAGTCATTTAAAAACAAAACAAAAAAACTATTACAGCTGCTGGTGGAGTTGGCTGTTTGAGTTGTTATAAGCTTTAAAAGAAAAGTGACATCATGATGCTTTTAGGAGTAAGTATGGGTTCGGAGAAGGCACTGGCAGCCCGCTCCAGTACTCTTGCCTGGAAAATCCCATGGACGGAGGAGCCTGGTAGGCTGCAGTCCATGGGGTTGCTAAGAGTCAGACACGACTGAGCGACTTCCCTTTCACTTTTCACTTTCATGCATTGGAGAAGGAAATGGCAACCCACTCCAGTGTTCTTGCCTGGAGAATCCCAGGGACAGGGGAGCCTGGTGGGCTGCCGTCTATGGGGTCGCACAGAGTCAGACACAACTGAAGCGACTTAGCAGCAGCATGGGTATTTAAGACTTGCAAACTTTTAAAATAGCAACTTTCCTTTTAAGTTTTAATTTTCTCTTAACTTGTAACCATAGCAGGCTAACAATATATATTGTACATCTCAGCAAAGTTTGTATTTTTGTAGCAATAAAACTCACGTACTATATAAATCATAAAGTGGTGACATAATTATCATAATTAGTGAGAATCTACTGAGTAAATGAGAATCACCTATTACTTTTCTAGGTGCTCTCTGAATGCAGAAGCAGTAGGTGGTAGAGGCTCTGTTCAGTTAGCTGAGTTTGGGCGATAGCATCTACATGTTAAAAACAGAAGCACACAAACTTTGAAGTACTGATGAAGTCAGCATGAAGTCTCCAAAGAAAGAGGACTATGTGGCAGAAACCAATACAATATTGGAAAGCAATTGTCCTTCAATTACAAATAAATAAATTTTTAAAGAAACAGTTAAATGAAAAAGAAAGAGGACAATAAGTGGTAATGGGAGTAGCCCAAATATATAAAGAACACCTACAGATAAATAAGAAAAATACAATAGAAAAAAACAGGTAAAAGATATATGAATAGATGTTATACAGAAAAGGAAACACATGTGGCTAACAAACTTATGAAGAAATATTTAACCTCATTAAGCAGTCTGAGAAGTGAGTACCCAAGGTCACAGTGACAACCTATTCAGTTGTCAACGAGTAGGCATTCTCACAAATACAAGTGTTAGAAAGTGACTCTGTTGAAAGGAGTATCAATTGTTACAAAAAACCACTGCAATGATGTAAAGTAATTAGCCTCCAACTAATAAAAATAAATGGAAAAAAAAAAAACCTGTTTGTTGTCTTACAATGTTGATCATCAGAATACCTTAAAACTGAGAAATTCCATTCCTAGATATATCTTCAAGAGGAATTTGAGCACATAACGTGCCAGAAGACGTGTGCAAGAATGTTTGTAGCTACACTTTTCATACTAGTGCCAAACCAAAAGCAACCAAAGTGGTCACTGATAGAATGGATATAGAGCATTCACACAATGGAAAACTATTCAGTAGAATGGGAAACCCAGGCTGAGGCAGCTAAGTGTGTTGAAAGATAATGGAGCATTACCTGTTGAGGCTATATAATGATCTGAATATTTCTTACTGTACACTGTCAGCTTCAACCAAGTGTAAAGTCAGCTAACGTACTACTGAGCATAGCGCAGCTAAAGCATTCATGAGGCAAACGTAGCATGGACTATAGCAATGATATTCTTTCACTAGCAAAGGAAAATTTTAAAACTCGTATTGTTCTAGTTTCAGAAGTAACAAATGATCACACTGTAGAAAATTGGGAAAGATAGGGAAAGCAAAAAAAAAGAGAAGCATAATCTCTTGTAATGCTGCTATGCAGAGATGACCATGGGTAACATTTTGATGTCTGTTTTCCCAGTGTCTGTCTTTGTCTCAATTTCCATCTTTCTCTGCATTTGCTTCTTTGTTTTTAATAAAAATGACACCATGGAATTGATACTATTCTTTGACTTAAAAAAAAATTAACAATATAAAGCAATATGATCCAGGTAACTGTTCTTTTTTATTGTCATTTTAACTCATAGGCTGCCTACATATCAATTTGACAAAATAATTTATTTAATCCTCAGTGTTTGAAAATTTGGACTGATTTTTCCTTTCTTGAGGGGGAGGGGCTGCTTTTAAAACATGAAAGAAAACATAAGGAAGTGTTTATAAATATCCATGCTATTTGCCTTAGTAGAAATTCCAAAAATTGAAAGGCTAGGAACATTTTTAAAAGTTACAAAGCATTTTGCTGGAGTGCTCCAGAAAAACTGTACCAGTTCACACCCTCACCAATAGGCTATGTGTCAGTTTTCCTATTCCTAATTATAAATTCTAGCCAATACTAATTATTAACCTCATACATTTGAAAGCTTAAGTTATATCACTGTTTTAATTTTTGTTTTGGATGCTAATGAAGCTGAAAATTTTAAATAAGACTTTTGGGTGTTTGAATTATTTCTTTATTGAATTGTTCACATTTTTTCTTTTTGTTCACCAAAGTTCTTTAAGTATTGAAAAAATATTATCTAGTTGTGATATAGGCTGAAAATATTTGCTCTAGTCTGTATTTTGCCTTTCAGATTTGCTTGTGGTGTTTTTTGGTGCACTAACATATTTAATTTTAAGTAGACTTAATTTTTTTAAACAGTTTTAAGTTTGCGAGAAAAGTGTGCCCATAGTGTGAAGAGTCTTCATGTATCTCCTCTCCCTCCCCTTTCCCCACCCCTAGTTTCTCCTCGTGTTAACATCTTACACTGGGGTGGATTTTTTAAAATTACAATTGATGAATCAGTACTGATACATTTTTGTAACTACAGTCCGTAGCTTGCGTTAGGGTTCACTCTGTGTGGGGTACAGTTCTGTGAATTTCAACACATGCTTACAGTAACGAGGGTTTTCCCGGTGACTCGGCAGTAAGGAATCCTCTTGCAGAGCAGGAGACCCAGGGGACGGGGGTTTGTTTGACCCCTGGGTCGGGAAGCTCCTCTGGAGGAGGGCGGCAGTCTACTCCCGTGTTCTTACCTGAAGAACCCATGGACAGGGGAGCCTGGTGGGCTACAGCCCAGTGGGTTGCAGAGTCGGACATGACTGAAGTGACTGAGCACATCAGTAATGACATACACCCACCGTTACAGTGTCCCACGGAGAGATTCACTGTCACAAACATCCCCTCTTCGTCCTCCCTGTCCCCGCTCCCTGAAGGCCGCTGGTCTTTGTACTGTCTGTATACGCTTGCCTTTTCCATATGTCATGTACTGACTGGAATCATGTGTAACTTTTTCTTATTGGCTTCTTTCACCTAGTGGGATTCCCTAGTAGCTCAGCTGGTAAAGAATCCACCTGCAATTCAGGAGACCTGGATTAGATTCCTGGGTCTGGAAGATCTTATGGAGAAGGGAAAGGCTACCCACTCCAGTATTCTTGGGCTTCCATGATGGCTCAGCTGGTAAAGAATCTGCCTGCAATGCAGGAGACCTGAATTTGACCCCTGGGTTGGGAAGATCGCCTGAAAGAGGGCATGGCAACTCACTCCAGTGTTCTTGCCTGGAGAATCCCCATGGACTATGAGGTCGCTAAGAGTCGGAGATGACTGAGCAGCTTTCACTTTTCTTTCACTTAGTAACATTCCCTTAAGTTTTCTCGATGCCCTTTCATAGCTTAATAGCTCATTTCTTTTTATCACTAAATAGTACTCTGTTGTAGGGCTGTACTACAGTTTATTTATCCATTCACCTATTAAAAGACATCTTGATTGCTTCCATGCTTTGGCAGTTATGATTAAAGCTGCTATAAACATTCATGTGCATGTTGCTGACTTCAGTTGTCAATTCATTTGGGTAAATCCTTAGGAGCTCAATTGCTAGACTGTATAGCCAACCTATGTTCTGCTTTATAAGAAACTGCCGAATTGTCTTCTGAAGTGGCTGTGTCATTTTGCATTCTCACCAGCAATGAATGAGTGTTTTTATTGTTCCACATCTTCTCCAACATTGATGTTTTGTTTTGAACTGGTGTGTCATGATAACTCATTGTTTTAATTTGCAATTTCCTAATGACATATGATATTGAGCATATCTTCATCTGTTCATTTGCCATTTGTGTGTCTCTAGTGAAGTGTCTCTTTAGATCTTTTGCTAATTCTGTAAAGTTGTTCTCTTATTTTTGAGTTTCAAGTGTTCTTTGTATATTTTGGATATAGGTCCTTAATCAGAAGTATTTAATTTTCGTATAGTCAAAACAATTTGTTTTCTGACTCTGTCTTCTCTATGTTTTTAATGCCTTTCCCCTGCCCCTTATAGATATCCACTTGCATTTTCTTTCCAGTAATTTTATAATTTCATTTTGAGATGTTTGTATCTGGAAGTCTCAAATCTTGAGAAAGAGATGATTCATTTTTCCCTCCATTTAAATCCACTCAGATATAATTGCTTTGCCTACTTTTGACAACCGTGCAATGGAAAACTGGGGACTATTGACATTTGACGAGTCATTATTGTTGCTGCAGCCAAATGATAAATTAACAGAAAAAAAGATCATGATCTTCTATATTGTCTCCCACGAGATTGGACATCAGGCATGTGGTAAAATGTTCTTTCTTATTTCACATGAAAATATTCTCCAGCTTCTGTACCAAAAGTAGCAAAAACCCCTAAGCCCTACCGTACACCAAATATTAAAAAATAACCTGAAAAGTGGTCCAGTGAGTGAAAACAAGGGAGGAACCATGTAATATCAGATCCTGATGGATTTGAACTTTTGGCGATAGATCATAGTGATGAGAAATCTCAGAACATTAGCAGGTCGTATATTCAAAGAGTGATTGTGTGCCACAAAGTTCTCTTCAGGAAAAGTAAGCCAAGCAGATCTATGATTATCTGCTTTTCATTCCAGCTTAAAATAGAGTCACTAGAAGATATCCCATTTCATCAATAGATTGTCACAAACTTTTTTTTTTTTTGAGAGAAGTTACAAGTTAAAGGATTATAGTCAATATAGTAGTATCACTGAGGTGACAGTCATCTAAACTGTGAAATTATCTTCTTGTTATATGGAAGTTTTGGAGAAGAGTGATTTACTGTGATTATATGATACCCTGTTACACAGTCAACACATACTTTCACAAGTCTTGATCATCACCCAAAGTGTCATTTTTTATTATAGCCTAAGTGACACTTTGTTTTGGAAAATAGAGTGCTAACTATTAATACATCACTGCTATTATAAGAATTTGGTTAAAAACCAGGGTGTGGATTTGTTGGTTTTGGAAATTACTGTGTTTTTCTTTCCTGATTCGCTTCATCATCATTTGACACTTTCCTTCTGTTAAGCTAAAATAGAAAATAATTACAACTGGACCACTTTGCAGAAACGAATACTTGAGTGATTCTTGCATGGTACAGATCAAATCATGTCCTTAAAACATAATCAACTGCTTACAGCAAAGTCCTGATGCAATCTGTTTTTAGTATGAGATGCTGTCTTAAGTGAACATCCAGGCCTTCTGCTTTACCTTAACTTTGGAGGAAAGTGGATGTTTAAGAAATGCTATACTAGCTTACTTATTTCTGAGCGTCACAGTTTTAAAGCAAAACTTGCTTCCAGTCGTTGGATGTGATATTTTACAGAAATACATGAGTGACTTCATGTTATTAATAAAACAACACCATGATTTTGATGTTTTCAAGTTTTATCACTGATAGCAAATTACAGTTAATTTTGTCTTTGACCTTACATTTATTTAACATGTAATTACAATAAATATTACTTACATTGAAGTTAAGAGTGTTATTTTCATCCCCAACTCCAAAAGTGGTTTGGAAACTTGGTTACCATGAATTGGTGGAATAATATCTGGCTCAATGAAGGTTTTGCATCTTATTTTGAATTTGGGATAATTAACCACTTCAATCCTAAACTCCCAAGGGTAAGTATGTCTGTTAAATTAATTTATAACTATTCTTCTAATTATAATAGTAGTTAATTTTCATTGTTGAAAGTGTGTAAAATACAGAAAAATACAGAGATAATAAATTATGTGTAATATCAGAGATGCTCAATGTTGTCTTTTTGATTTGTTTTTTTTTGTCAGGCTTTTATTATTGTAAATATTCCTACAAGTGAAAATTACGCAGAAATGTGTAATGCCCTTTCTACTTCATACTATATCAAAAACTTTTCCACAGGTCATTAGATTATTCTTGAAAATAAGATTTTTAAGTGTTGCCTAGTATTTTATCATATAACTTTATAAGATATTTTCCCTACTATTAGATTTTAGGTTATTTTCATTTATTTCTACCTAGACTGAATTTTAAAGCACTTGCAATCAGTAGTCTACAACTTTAATAGCAAGTAATATGCTATGTTGTATTATCCATAATATAGCTGATATTGCATATGATACTCATAGCTGACATTGTATCTATTATAGCTGATAATCTTTTGCTATGTTGAGTAAGTAGTAACATGGAAAATTAATTTATGTGTATGCAAATCTGAATTGAAAGTTATATTTCTACTATTTTATTTAGAGTAGTTAGGTAATGCTTTCAGAATGGCATGATATTGATTTAAGTGCTTAAATATTTAGATTTAATATGGTCTTTTGACACAGACCTCATTTCTTCGCACCAAGTCTGGGCTTCTTTCTTCCTGTCTGTTCCCGCCTCCTGTCATCTCTCTGATGCTCTGAGCTGCTCTCTCTGCTGCTTTTTCTGGGTCTTTTTGTCCTTTCCCCTCCCAAGTGTTTCCAAGGCTCTACTTCGGGCCTCTTTTTCTTCTCTCCATACCCTTGCTCATTAAAGTGTGTTGATGTTTAACATGCTAATTTCCACTGGTCAGATCTTCACAGGCTAAATTTATTCACTTTGAAGGAGAATCTAAGATTGTTCTTTCTATTATTATGAAAGTGAAAGTTGCTCACTCGTGTCCAACTCTTTGCGATCCCGTGGACTATATAGCCTGCCAGGCTCCTCTGTCCATGGAATTCTCCAGGCAAGAATACTGGAGTAGGTTGCCATTTCCTTCTCCGGGGATCTTCCCGACCCAGGGATCGAACCCAGGGCTCCCTCATTGCAGGCATGCTCTTTACTGTCTGAGCCACCAGGTCAGCCCATTAATATTACAACAAAAGTTGTAAACTTTTCCCTCTTTTATGAAAGGAAGAAGATAGTAAGTAGATGATGTTTATCTTTTGTTTATTAAAAAGTTGGCAGAATAAAAAATTGACAGACCTCTCTTGGGCGCACAGAAACTTTAAAAAAAATCTTTTTTTTAACCTGTTTGTGAAATTGTGGCTTCTGAAGAGCACTGATGTAGTAGTCTTTTACTGCCTGAGTTCCATACCACTTTGAAAGTTCAGTTCAGTTCAGTCGCTCAGTCGTGTCTGACTCTTTGCGACCCCATGAATCGCAGCACGCCAGGCCTCCCTGTCCATCAGCAACTCCCAGAGTCCACTCAAACCCATGTCCATTGACTCGATGATGCCATCCAACCATCTCATCCTCTGTCATCCCCTTCTCCTCCTGCCCCCAATCCCTCCCAGAATCAGGGTCTTTTCTAATGAGTCAACTTGTCGCATGAGGTGGCCAAAGTGTTGGAGTTTCAGCTTCAACATCAGTCCTTCCAGTGAATACCCAGGACTGACCTTCTTGAGGATGGACTGGTTGGATCTCCTTGCAGTCCAAGGGACTCTCAAGGGTCTTCTCCAACACCACAGTTCAAAAGCATCAATTCTTTGGTGCTCAGCTTTCTTCACCGTCCAACTCTGACATCCATACATGACCACTGGAAAAACCATAGCCTTGACTAGACAGACTTTTGTTGGCAAAGTGATGTCTCTGCTTTTTAATATGCTATCTAGGTTGGTCATAACTTTCCTTCCAAGGAGTAAGCGTCTTTTAATTTCATTGCTGCAATCATCATCTGCAGTGATTTGGGAGCCCAGAAAAATAAAGTCAGCCACTGTTTCCACTGTTTCCCCATCTATTTGCCATGAAGTGATGGGACCGGATGCCATGATCTTCATTTTCTGAATGTTGAGTTTTAAGCCAACTTTTTCACTCTCCTCTTTCACTTTCATCAAGAGGCTCTTTAGTTCCTCTTCACTTTCTGCCTTAAGGGTGGTATCATCTGCATATCTGAGGTTATTGATATTTCTCCCAGCAATCGTGATTCCAGCTTGTGCTTCCTCCAGCCCAGCGTTTCTCATGATGTACTCTGCATGTAATTGACATAAGCAGGGTGACAATATACAGCCTTGACATACTTCTTTTCCTATTTGGAACCAGTCTGTTGTTCCATGTCCAGTTCTAACTGTTGCTTCCTGACCTGCATACAGGTTTCTCAAGAGGCAGGTCAGGTGGTCTGGTATTCCCGTCTCTTTCAGAATTTTCCTCCTACCCTTTGTGGACATCCTATAAATGCTCACCAGCACACAGTCCAGCCACTCTACAGTACCTCTGCTCTTCCTCCCCTGGGCTAGACATCATTATATAGATCTGCAGAATGAAGTACTGAAAGGTTAATCGACTTGCCCAAGGTCATTTGCCTGCTTGAGGCGAAACTGTGATTACATTCCAGTGATCTGGGTCTAGGCTGAAGATGAGGATAATGATGATAATAAATATTAATAAATAATCAAAAATATTATTTAATTCCATCCACTGAGCACTTGGGACTTAACTGCCTGGTAGTGTGAGTCTTATACATATATCATCTTCATCAATCTTCAAGATAATCCTATGAGTATAGTTGTTACTTTTTCTATCTCCTATTGAGGAAACTGAGGGTATAAGTATTAGGTAAGTTGTCCAAGATCTCGCAGTTATTAAAGGTCAGAGATGAGACTCAGCTCCAGGTTTCTCTAGCTGTCAAGCCCGTGCTTTAACCCCAGGGAGTGTTCTCGTTCTCAAGGGCTTATGGTGTGTGAGTGTGTTCATTATGACTCTCTTCATATATGTGAACTATATATACACACAGCAAGTCTTAGTCCTTCCATATATGCTACACCTACAAAATTGTTTATATCTCTCTTTTATAAAGTAGCATCTACACACGGTTAGTGTTACCTGTAACTATTTTTTAAAGCATTTGGTTGTACCCCAAATTACCTCTGTGCTGAGAGTCAATATGGAAAGACATTCCAGTCCTTAAAACAATTAGATTCACCTGTATGTCCTTTATTGACTATACTATAAATTTCAGTTACCTTTTATTTATTTTTTTTCCATTTATTTTTATTAGTTGGAGGCTAATTACTTTACAATATTGTAGTGGGTTTTGTCATACATTGACATGAATCAGCCATGGATTTACATGCATTCCCCATCCCGATCCCCCCTCCCACCTCCCTCTCCACCCGATCCCTCTGGGTCTTCCCAGTGCACCAGGTCCGAGCACTTGTCTCATGCATCCAATCTGGGCTGGTGATCTGTTTCACCCTAGATAATATACATGTTTTGATGCTGTTCTTTCAAAACATCCCACCCTCGCCTTCTCCCACAGAGTCCAAAAGTCTGTTCTATACATCTGTGTCTCTTTTTCTGTTTTGCACATAGGGTTATCGTTACCATCTTTCTAAATTCCATATATATGTGTTAGTATACTGTAATAGTCTTCATCTTTCTGGCTTACTTCACTCTGTATAATGGGCTCCAGTTTCATCCATCTCGTTAGAACTGATTCAAATGCATTCGTTTTAATGGCTGAGTAATATTCCATGGTGTATATGTACCACAGCTTCCTTATCCATTCATCTGCTGATGGGCATCTAGGTTGCTTCCATGTCCTGGCTATGATAAACAGTGCTGCGATGAACATTGGGGTGCACGTGTCTCTTTCATATAAATTTCAGTTACCTTTTAATGCAACAGAAATGGCTAAGATATTATCATATCTGGAAAACACTGATGAAAACATGTTACCAATGTTTTTCAAGCTAAGATGGTAAGATTATCCTCTCATATCATTTAGTTTTATTACTTTTTATCATTGGTTCTTAATCACTGTTTTCTGAGTGTACATTTCTCAATCACTTGTAGAGCTGAGTGAACCATAACCCTCGCCAGAAGAGTATCAGATCTTGGAGCTTGAAAAAACTGCCATGAGCTTTGTTTTTGAAAAGCTTAAGGCTTTGTTTCATTGGTCTTTAAGAGATCAGAACTTTAGCTTCCTTTGAATCAGTCGTTAGATTGAAAGTGAGTAAAGAGCATCACAGAAACATATGCAAAAACAGATTTCCATTTTTTCTAATTCTGGTCTAATTTCAGCTGAAAGCTATTAACATACAAGATGAATGGGTCATGGTCAAGGATTCAGAACATTCCAGTTGGTTTCTTGACCCCCGAAGCTCCAGCTCTAACATTGGTACTCACTGACTTTTCTGCATCCCTCTTCTGACTGGTCTAAGGAAGCAGCAGCTCTCGTGGAGGCAAGGGGCATGTAGGGGCCTTGCAGGCAGTCAGATCTCGCTATGTTTCCATGATCACTGTAAGCTGAGGCAAGTAGTCGAACACTTCTGAGCTTTCCTTCCTCATCTGTAAGAAAGTTTCATGCAGTCATTCAATACATTGAGTATATAGTGGGCACTCTTGTGACAGCCATCATTTACTAAGCATTCATTATGTGCTTAGAGTGTGTTTTGTACAATATCTGGTTCACCCTTCTGAAGAACTAATGATGACAATATAATCGCAGTAGTGCTTAACCCTTATTGAGCATATTCTATTTGCCAGTCACAGTGCTAAAAATTCTACGTAAATTAATTTAGACCTGATAATAATCCAGTGAGGACAGTGTTCACCCCATTTTCAGAGGCGAAACTGAATTTCCAGAGTGATGAAATTAGTTGCCTTTTATGAGTCATACAGTCCCTAGGAAGCTGAAGTAGGATTCAGACCCAGGTAGCTTGACTCCAAACCCTGTGCTTTCAACCACAGTGATATTCCATACAAATTTTATAATAAATACTGTTACATTTCTTAGTATAATCATAGATCTGATAGAAATAGGTTTGTTCTCTGGAATCTCATAGCTTGCATGAAGAAAGAAATGGAGAGTGTAGAGACTCACTTTATCCAATCATTATATGCAATAGCTAGGTAATATTTTTTTAAAAACCTGATATTGCTTTTTACAATAGAGTTTCCCTTCCACAAGACCAGAACAGACTGGGACAAACATCACCTTATGGAAGGCCTAGAGTAGAAAAACCTGAGGAATGTTGAGTAAGAGGTGTTCACCTCATTCATCACAGCTATCTTGTGTGATTGGGAGGACACCAAGAAGATTATGTAAACCTTACGCCAGGCAGGCACAAGAGAGACACAGTCCATTCTGAAAGAAAAATATGGAAAAGGTTATGTGTACAAAAGTATTCATTAATACATTGTCTATAACAGAAAAAAAAAAACAACTGGAAACAAATGCCTACCCATTAGGCAAATGATTCAGTCAGTTATAGTCCATCAACCTGAAAGGGTATTACGCAGCTGTGCATTTGTTTATTTTAGTGTTTTGCTTTTGCAAAAGTTATATCTACCCTGTGAAAATCATGATTAAGTTTGGGGTTATTTCTTTCCAATTTGTGTTTGTTTCATTTATGATACAGCAGCCATTATTAGGAGTAGTTATGAAGATAAGATAGCAAAATTTCTAAATGAATGTGATAACAAGTAAATGAACAAGATGAAAAGTTTTTACAACTGTAAGAATAAATAAATAGGGGAAAAGATTAGAAAGAGCAGGATTAACAACATTCTAATGGGAGTTATTGCAGGATGTGGACTTACGGGTGTTTTTTATTTTTGCTGTTTTCTTCATTGTGTTTATATGGCACCGGGGTGGACAGTGCACACTCTCAAGAGCTCTTAGGTGTTAAATTAATAAAACCTATACTTAACGAGTAAGGTGGGACTTTATGCAGATGTCTCCTCTAAATCTTTGCTACTCAAAGTGTGGTTCTTGAGCTATACACCAACATCAGCATCACCTGGTCATTTAGTAGAAATGCAGACCCCAGACTTCCCTGGTGGTCCAGTGGTTAAGTCTCCACGCTTCCACTGGAGGGGGCACGAGTTTCCATCCCTGGTCGGGGGATCTTAAGATCCTGCATGTCTCAAGGTGCTGCCAAAAAACAAACGAACCAACCGAACCCCAGCACAGACTAACTGAATTAGAATACAATTTGACAAGATCCCCAGGGGATCCTTATGGGCAGTAAAGTTTGACATGCAGTTCTCTAAATGACAGGCTTTCTCATTTTGAGAAAAGCTGAGTTTGACGATAAGTTAACCAAAGTATGCATAAATCTGAACATAATATGCTAACTAGAGAGGCTTGGTTGAAACTTTGGCAAATGGCGTGGGGCAGAGTTTGGAGGGGTTGAGGGAGTCAACTGTTGAGGGGTGAGGGAATCAGCGTGGGACCACAGGGAGAGTCCCTGGGAGCTGAGGCTTCGGTGGCGTCCAGGTGCTCGCCAGGGTGTGCCTCGGCCGCCCCTGCCCTCTCTTTGGCTCTGTCTTTGCATGCACCTCTTAACTCTTCTTTGGTTTTCCTTCTAGCTTTCCTTAGGAAAGAAATGGCCGTTGTCACATGTCTAAGAGAGATCTAATCTTTTGGAGAGTTCTAGACCTTATTAAATATCAATAACTGCCAGTTGCTCTGGTGGCTCAGAGGGTAAAAAAGAATCTGCCTACAGTGTAGGAAACCGGGGTTTGATCCCTGGATGGCGAAGATCCCCTGGAGAAGGGAATGGCTACTCACTCCAGTATTCTTGCCTGGAGAATTCCATCGACAGAGGAGCCTGGCAGGCTGAAGTTCCATGGGGTTGCAAAGAGTCAGACATGACTGAATGACTAACACTTTTACAGTAAAAAAAATTCTTAATGCATTAGCTATAAATTACAGTATACAGTTTGTAGATTTGTTTTGATTTATTTCTAATAACTAATATTACTACATCATCGTCACTGTGAATTTGTAAATTTGGCATTGCTTTTGTCTTATAAATGTCCCTGTAGGAGACTGATACATTTTAAGGGATTACTAATAAAGTTGCCAATAAAACTCTATAGAGGATTAAAACCGCCTAGAGATGCTGTTCCCTGAAGGACCTGTCTGGGTGGTCAGGGACCTCCTAACGTAAGGAATGTGTTGGGTTGGCCAAGAAGTTTGTCCCATCTTATGTAAAGTCGAACAAACTTCTTGACCAACCCAATAGATGACTGTCTTGGAAACCACATTAACTTTTGTAATTGATTTTTTTAATTGAAATAAAAAAGGAGACCAAATGGGAAGGAAGGTATCACAGTTTTGTTATTCAACGACTCCTGACTTATTCGGCACATTGTAGCCCAAAGAGCACTTCTCAGTTATTGATTTCTTCCCCTCTTCAATGATAGTTTCTGAAACTATTTTAGGAGCATTGAACTTCCTGTTTCTGTGATGCCTCAGGAGTTCGTTGTCTCAATGTTTTCCTTTTAGAATGAGATCTTCTTCTCTAACATTTTACATGGTGTGCTCAGAGAAGATCACGCCCTGGTGTCTAGAGCCGTCTCCATGAAGGTGGAAAGTTTCACAGAAACCAATGAGATAAATGAGCTCTTTGACTTATTCACTTACAACAAGGTAAAACAGTTCCACATTTATATTTGTGCTGCAGTCTTGCAGAAAGCTACATAAAATGGGTTCTTTGGGTTCTAGACTAATGTGCTGCTACACAATTTTGGTACAAAGACCTTAATGTTATTCGGTAGATGGATCTCAGAAAACATGGTTAAGTCGGTTCTTATCTAGTAAATGGTAATCTGTAATAGGTGCTCAATGCCATCTGCCTTTTAAAATATAGGCAGACAGCTGGAAGCTTTTAAGGAGAACTCTTCTGCCTGGTGGAAATTTGTTCTTTTGTCACTGAAAGAAAGGCACGCGACATAAAAGCTGTGAGCTAAGTTTTGTTCAGGAGCCTGACTGAGGGCTATAGCCCAGGAGACAGCCTCTCAGAGTATTCTGAGAAACTCTTCCAAAGAGACAAGGGGGCAGCCAGGATATAGCTGAAGGTTTTCTTTTGTTTTGTTCCCGGGGACAGCATCCAGTCAGGTATAAAAAGACTACGGCTAGTCACAAGGAACAGACATCTCAAATGAATACTTACAGTGCATTTCTGTGTATGGAGGGATGCAAGAATCTGGGGTCATTGAAAATTTTCTTTAGATATGTATCTGAACTATCTTGGGATTAGTATATTCAAAACAAAGAATGCTTCTTAGTTTTCTCCATCCTCAATTCTCCCCTGCCGGCCCCCTACACCCACCCCGGGACATTGTCAGTAGGCAACCACAGTAGCTAATTGCTGATCCTTGTAGAACTGGAACAAGAGGCAACCTTTATTTATTTACACTTGTCATGTGAGTCTCTCAATTTAAAAAGTTTTCTGTACCCTGAATTCTTATATGTAGGACATTTTCTCATCTTTTATCTATTAATCAGTGACAGTTTATTTTATTAGCACATTTTGGGTTAACCCAGACATTCAGTTGAGGTATACAATGCAATGAGGAGCGCAGCCCAAAATCTTGTATGCCAAAACGGAATGTGTCAGTTATTTAGATACTGAATTTTGTTCAAATAATGGACAACTTCTTATGTCTTAGGGAGCGTCTCTGGCCCGGATGCTAGCTAGCTTCTTGAATGAGAAAATATTTATCAGCGCACTTAAGGTGAGTTTGCAAAATTGTTGTTACCTAAAGACAGTAAACATGAATTGCTTTGGCAAGTTATTCATTTTAACCTTACCTTTTCTATTTTAACAGTCATATTTGGAGACTTTTTCTTACTCAAATGCTGAGCAAGATGATCTATGGAGACATTTTCAAATGGTAATTCTCTGACTCTCTGCCGTGTTTTTGCTATGTTGTGCTGTAGGGTCTCCGGGCCATGTGCGTATGCTGACGCCGCAGGAAAACCCCCTTCCCTTGTCTGTGACACTGCTTTAAGTCGGAGGTTACTTCTTTAGTCTTCACCACTGTATTCCCAGGCTTCCCTGGCTCAGACAGTAAAGAATCTGCTTGCAGTGCAGGAGACCTGGGCTCAATTTCTGGGTTGGGAAGGTCTCCTGGAGAAGGGAATGGCAATCCACTCTAGTATTCTTGCCTGGAAAATTCCCTGGATGGAGGAGCCTGGTGCTATAGCCCATGGCATTTTGAACACAGCTGAGCGACCACTAACACACCATGTTTCTAGTGCCCAGGATAGAGCCTGCGTATATTAGATCCATAAAAAGTGTGTTCAGTGATTGAATGAAAGGATGAATTAAGGAACCACTCATATATACAGAGATGAACAGAATTAAATTTGATCCAGAAATTCCCCACTGGGTTTTACTATATAAATGAGAAATACAATCACTACGTATTGATGGTTCCTTTTAGGAGTTGGCTACCTCAGAAGATTTGGATGGTAAATAACCGCTTTTGTGATGATTTTTTTAAAACAGGCCATAGATCACCAGAGTAAAATTCTTTTGCCAACAACAGTAAAAAGCATCATGGACAGCTGGACACAGCAGAGTGGTTTCCCAGTTATCACCTTAAATGTTTCCACGGGCGTCATGAAACAGGAGCCATTTTATCTTGGCAAGGTTAAAAATCAGACTCTTCTAACCCACAAGTAGGTAGATTTGCTCCTGTCTTCACCTTCCTTGGGGTTGATCTCTGATCAGAAGGAAACCAGCCTATGGATGAGGAAGCGTAACTCCCACTGGATGCACACCCTCCATGGGATGACGGGGGTGGTGACTCAGTGCTCCGAGCAGGATGACACTGTGCTAGGGCGGGGCAGAGCCCCTGAGGTCCGAGGCCTGCCTTTAGGGTTCTTGCGGTATTTCTCCCCTGGGACTTAGCTTTGCGTCTTAGGCATTCTTTTTTGTCCTTTAGACGGAGGTGATGAATTACTCAGAATTCTGTGTGAAAGCCAGTAAAATTGAATCTGAATGGCCTTACGTTAGTTAAGAAAAAAGGGGATCTGGTGGCCAGGTCGTCTTCCCTTCTCTAGAAATGGAGCTGAATGGTGACCATATCCTTGAGGAATAATTCTGTGCATGTATGCCCACACATGTGTATGTGCTTTTGTAACCATACATAAAATATTAGAGTTATAGATCCCAAATTCAAACCTCAGTCTTATTTAAAATCTCTGAGTTTCAGTTTCCTTATCTATGAAGCAAATGTAATGATACAAACCCCAGGGGCTTGTTGTAGAAGTAAAGTGAGATAGGAAGTATACCGTGGCTTAGCAGTCATCACCTTCTCCTTCTGTTTCCTCTTCTTCCTTAACTTGTTAGTTTTCAACTGTTTTTGATAAAGGGTTTGATTCTCAGATCACATTGTATTAAGCATAAGCACAAATGAGTAATTTATTTTCATGTACCATCACCAAAATTTTCAGGTTGTCCCACTCTTTCTTATAACCCCAGGGGAGGAAATAGGAGACCTGCAGGTCCCTTCTCCCTGTGATATTTCATGATTTTTGAGAAGAAGTGGCCTTAGTATCATATGAACAGAGACTCTCAGTTCAAAGTCTGAGAAGCCAGACGTGCGAGCATTTGAGCAAGGTTGGAAATACTGTCTCAGTTCCGAGCAGTGTGTGTCTTGAGATGACTAATGTCCTCATCGAGGTCGGCGACTTCATCCAGGTCACAGCCAGCAGCATAGGGAGACTGCCGGCATTCAGCGAAGACGAATAATCTGGCTGAGTGCTGTTGAACACGTTTCAAACTGGAAAGAAACTTGAGGTGGAAAAGCTTTTTGAAATGTTTGTCATGCTTTTTCTTCTTAAATGATTATTCAGTTTTCTTGGCACAGATAGCTTTGGGTATGTCTGCAGCATTTGAATGACCCCTGAGTAAGGCCAGATGGCTATAATTGAATATAAACAGGCCTTGAAAGTTTCAGATACAGGAGAGCCTTAGAAGCTTACCCTGAGTTGCAAGAAGAAGCAAATCTGTGAGGCACAAGAGAATAAGTAAATAGCCAACCCTGGCTTGTGAAACAACAGTGAATAATTCTAAAACCGAGTCCTGTATATCCACAAGGAATGACCGAAGAATTTGAGTTCTTTTATCATCTTATTTAATATTGGCTCAAAGCTCTTATTCTTATGTGTGAACAATAACTGAAGTTTTCATTTTTTTCCAAAAAGTGATACATGGATTATACCTATTCTTTGGATAAAAAATGGAACTACACAGTCTTTAGTCTGGCTAGATAAAAGCAGCAGTAAGTAACAAATTTTTTTTAAATACCTTCATATATATATGCAAATATATATATATACACACACACATATATAAAAGCAGAGAATAAAATGTTAAAATGTCTAGCTTTTGAATAGCTTATTTAAAAGTAAAATATTACATCATTCTTGTTGAACATAGAGCTTTAAAGAAACATTTCTAATCAAAAGTTATTGTATGTGAAAAAATATAGTTATATGGTAAGATCAATACATATTTTAGAATATCTTTACTTTTTGTTTCACTGGATTTGTTGTTTAGAATTAAGAGGGCATAGTAAAACACGTAGTGAAATATTTTTAACATGTACCAGTTCAAACTGTTCACATGTTTCTTTGTAGAAGTATTTCCTGAAATGCAAGTTTCAGATTCTGACCATGACTGGGTGATATTAAATTTGAATGTGACTGGATATTATAGAGTTAACTATGATAAATTAGGTTGGAAGAAATTAAATCAACAGCTTGAAAAAGATCCTAAGGTAAGTTTTATTTTTACACCTTTTACTGAATATCATTAACACTGTGCTCTCTAGACTTTATAGGCTGAGCTGCCATCAACCTGACTGGTGGGAACCTGACCTCTTTGGCACCCCTCAATGCCAAGACATGCTGGATTTTTTTTCTTAGAAAAAAGAGGTTTTCTTAGAAAAAAGAGGTTTTCTTAGAAAAGAGAGGTATTGTGTTTTTGAACATTAATTTCACTTTTCCATAATAATTTTACCTTTCTAAGTGAAAAATCAAAATAATTTCCAATTAACTGTTAATTTTGTGATCTTAGGCAAGTTACTTAAATGTTCTGCTTCAATGTCTTCACTTTAAAATGGGAATAATACCATATCTTTCTTATTCCTTATGAGAATTAGAGATAAGGTAAGTCAACAAATACTTTAAATGTCTAGGGACTTCCCTAGTATTCCAGTGGTTAAGACACTGTACTCCCAATGCGGGGGACACAGGTTCAATCCCTGGTCAGGGACTAAGATTCTCCCATGCTACCTGGTGTAGCCAAAGCAAAAATCAAAACAAAAACCTTTCTAAGCACATAATAGGTACCAGTACATAAATGCTAGAAAATGTTAATTTTCTAAAAATTGTATTTTCAATCTTCTGGCCAAGGAGATAATTTAATTCACAAGATATCAGTAATAATCCAATATCACTTTAAAGTTATCAAATAACTGTAAATTATTATACAGTATATAAAAATTAAAATATTGGCCAGCTCTTATCAGTCAGACTTTACTTGGTTGAATTAAACCAAATCTCCATTAGTGGAGATGGATGCTGGCTTAGAAGTCTGTAGAGTTGGCTCTGCTGTGAAATCTGGGGCAGTTCATTTAGTCTCCATTTGTAAAACTAGTGTGTTGAACTAAAAGATATCTTAGGTGTCTCTGTCGTCAAAATTTCTGTGAGTCACCCAGTGAGTCTCTGGCAAAACAGGCAGTACACAGAACTGGCAGAGCTTGGATTCTGGGTCAGATCAACTTGTGTTCGTATTTTTGATCATCATTTACCAGATGCGTGACCTTAGGCCTCTTATTTAGCCAGTCATGCCTTGGATTCCTTGTCTGTATAATAATGGGTATAATGGACCAATGTTAAAAGCTTGTGAAGATTAAATAAGATGATGTATGTATGATGTTTAACAGAAGCCTAATCCAATTCAAGCATTCAGAACATGATCAGTAATTTTAAAAGATTTATCACTGGGCTTTTGAATAAAGTTACAAAAACCAGCTGTAATAATACTTTATTTAAAAATCTTTTTCAGAGTAGCTAAATTTTTTTTCATTTCTAAGGGCAGTCTTAGCTATGGAAACACTAGGTCATGCCATTATAGCAATGACTTCTTGAAGCCCTTGTAGATTTTACTTATTGAAAAACTGAAGTCAGTTATTCCTACAACATAATTGCTGAGCAAACAAACTATTTCTACTATTAATATTAATCTAGAAAATGTAAGTACTGTTATTACTGCCAGAAAAGATATGTGACTACTGCCAAGGAAAGAATTAGGCTTGGCTTGTGCAGATGCTCAAAGGGATGTTGTGAAGATAAATCTTCTGGGACCACATATATGAATATGCTTGGTGGGGGTGGGGGGTGGGGTATTGCTGTTGAAGGAATGCTGTCGGAAACTTTGGGACCCTTGAGACACAAGCTGAGACGGTCCTGTGGCCTGGCAGTGCTGGGGAGCTCAAACAGAAGCCTGAGAAGTTAGGTTGGCAGTTGACTCCTTTTCATGATTCAAAGGGCTCTATTGGTGGTACTGTGTCGAATTGGTAAACTCTTGAGAAGAGAGATACCACTGAAAAGAGGACCTCAGCATTGCCAAAATAGTGCTAAGTAATATTTATTTAAGGCTTTCTATGCCAAAAAGTTCCCTGACAACAATTTGGACGTTGTGATACAATTAACGTATACTTTTTGTTTTGGAGAGGCCCTTTAAACTTGGCTTCCTGTTTTATTTTTTAACACGCTGTTTTTCACATAGTATTTTGGCAGAACTCTCAGCCATATTTAAGCCATATGATTGATGTCCAAAGGGACTGCTTATCAAAAACAGATGTATAATAAATAAATTATGGAAATTATCCTTAGAAATGATCATTTCTCTGTACATGAGATAATGCACATGAAAGTGCTTTGTAAGCAGCAATGATCTTGAAATGTTGTTATTATTTTGAAAGTTATTTTTCTACTAAAAATGTTCTCATCTTTTCCTGAGCATTTTTGGATCTCATCTGCAGGCTATTCCTGTTATTCATAGACTTCAGCTGGTTGATGATGCCTTTTCCTTGTCTAAGTGAGTATATTTTCTTCTCTCATCATTTAACAGTGTAGCTTGAAAAATTTACAAAAATAATAACCTCATCCCTATGAAGTTGGCTCCTTAGTTTATACAAGCCCTAACTTATTAAGATTAGGGTGAAATTCTGTGGTTATTGTGAAATTTTATGATATAAAAATGCTGGACAACATGAATGGACCTAGAGAGTGTCATATTGAGTGAAGCAAGTCAGACTGAGAAGAAATATCATATTACATCCCTTACATGTGGAATCTAAAAAGAAATGATACAGGTGAACTTACTTACAAAACAGAAAGAGACTCATTGACTTAGAGAAAGGACTTAACGGTTGCCGGGGGAAGGACGAGGGGAAGAGACACGGAGTTTGGGACAAACACGTACACACTGCTATATTTAAAATAGGTAACCAACAAGGCCCTACTGCGTAGCACATGGAACTCTGATCAGTGCTGTGTGGCAGCCTGGACGGGCTGGAGTCTGGAGGACAGTGGATATACGTTATGTGTAGGGCAGCGGCCCTTTGCTGTTCACTTGGAGCTATCACAACGTTGTTAACTGGCTATAGCTCAGTACAAAATAAAAGGTTTAAAATCTTTTTTAAAAGTTGATGGAATATGCCACAACACAGATGAACCTTGAGGACATTATGTTATGTGAAATAAACCAGTCACAGAAAGACAAACACTGTGTGTTTCCATTTATATGAGCTACTTGGAGGAGTCAGAATCATGGAGACAGAAAGATTGGTGACTGCCAAGGACTGGGGCGGGAGGGGGGAGGGGCATGGGGAGACACTGTTTAATGGGTGCAGAGTTCAGTTTCACAAGATGAAAAGAATTATCTAGATGGCCAGTGATGATAGTTGTACATTATGAAGGTACTTTAAGAAAATTTTTTTGGAGTACAGTTGATTTACAATGTTAGTTTCTGCTATGCAGCAAAGTAAGCCATTTATACATATGAATATAATTAATACCAGGGAACTGTACACTTTAAATGGTTAGGAAGACAAACTGTATGTTATGTGTATTTTGCAACAATAAAAAATTAGAAAAAAAAGACAATTCAAAAAAGGTCATCATCAGGAAAGAGCAATAACATCTACTACTAATAAAAATGAAAGCCACAGGAAACAATGTTTTTTATAACAATTTGACTAGAAGGAATATATGTTCTTTGTCAAGTCAAAATTTGGTGGTTAATTATATGAAAGTCCCATGTATTTTTGATTAAATTAACTTTGGTATAATAAGATTTAAAGTGATCATGGAGAAATTTTGAAAGGCTTTTAAAGGAGCAGTGAAGAAAATTTAGTGTTTTAAAGGGAAGTCCTGAGGGGAAGGGAGGATAGACTGAAGTTTGAGATCGACATGTACACACTACTATATTTAAAATAAAATAAAGCGCCTTTCCATGATAAAAAAGAAAAAGGGGGAAGCCCTCAAAGGAAAACCTTTAGAAGGATGCAGTAGAGACGATGTAAGGAGGAAAAGGTAATAGTGTTTAAATATTTATAGGATTATTACAAAATGTATAAGAATCATTATTTTAAAATCTAGATCAAGAGTGAAAACTTAGGTAACATACACGGAGCTCAGACTTGCATTTGTAAAGACTGTTAATGTTCAAATGGATAAATTTAGGAAGATTATGGAAGACATTTTCATGTGATTCTAAGATATTGGAAGTTAAGGAAATAAAGTCACTGATATATCCAAAATAAAGAGTTTCTGGAAAGAAGTAGACTATCAATTAAGACTTTGAAATGATTTTTGTTACCCACAGGTGATGGCTGTATGTGTTTTTAATGAGCCTAAATTCTAATGTGTTACAGAATGGTTGATTTCATTGGTAGTGGATTTACTCTACTGCTAATTTTCTAACCAGGGAAATGAATGTATGTTCAGAATTTAAATTTTTAGACAGTAAAGCTAAGGAGTACACATAATAAATTATCCAGTGTATTGTCTCTCTCCTTCACCTGTTGTATTTCTTGAATGAATGCGTATTTTATCCCTCCTTTTTTCCTACTTTCCCCCTCGACGTAGAGCACATTTCCCCACCCATTACTTCACTGAAACACTTCTCTGAGATTGCCATGAATTTAGTATTGTTAACCACATCCTCCTGCAAGCTTCTTTTTTGACTTCCTGAGACTTCAGTGTGCAGACGTGGTTCTCCTCCAGTATCTGACTTCTTTTTCCAGCTGCCCTGAGTATCTTTAAGACCAGTCATGGCTATGTTACTTTCTTCTATCTTTCCTCTGAGTAATTCTTGCCTTCTTATGGTTTCAGTGATCATTTTATTATGTGTATGTACAGTGCCCACCAGATAGAAGGTATTCAATAAATGTTTGTAAAGGATATGTTGACGACTTCTAAATCTATATATCTACTTATCTCCTCCTGTCTTCTGTTCATCCTGAGGTTATCTAAGTTCACTGAACTTTATTTCTGTCTCTAAGTTGCTCCTACTATCAATGTCTCTTTGTCAAAGGCACTACTATTCTTCTCATCTCCCCCACTTGAAACATCAGAGATATCCTTGACTCTCCTCTCTCTCTCCATCTCTCACCAAGTCTCTGTGTCTTATCTATTCATTCTGGGGATCTGGGGAATGTCTTTTGGATTCTCACCTCACTTACCACCTTCATTGCTTCCTTGCTAAGTCAAATTTGCGTCACCCTTTGCCTGGCCTGTCACATTAGCTTCTAGCTGTTAGTCCTTTAGAATTCCATTCTGTCTTCTGCAGCACAAATGGAAACAAAATTTTAAGGCATCAATTTCATGATGTTACCCTGATTGTTTAAATACCTTTCCAACAAATGTAAATTCTTCATCCTGACAGTCAAGCCTCTCCACACTTTTGATTACCTATTGGCCGCCATCTCTCAGTACACACAAAAGAAATTCCCTGCCTTGGTTAAGTTGGTCTGCCATGAACCCACTTGCTGTCCTAACTTCCTTCCTCTATCTTTCTACTCATTCCTACCCTTCCTTCATTCTTTTTTCAAGTTCCTCCTCCAGAAAGCCTTCCCTGTCCCTCCCAACACATGCCTATATTTTCTTCTTTGCTACTTTATTGCATTCATTGACCTTTAATCTATCAAGCTGAAATGGAGAGCCTGTCAACATTGCTTGCTCCACCTGATCAGTGAGATGGGGCGTTTGTCCTCTAGCTTCTTGATTTCATAGACCTTCTTGAAATCAGGCACTGAATCATATAAGAAACATGGAAAGTATGCAGATCATTTAGCAAGGAAAGGCTTTTTTGAATCTTTGTTGTTTTTTTTAAAAACCAAACAGAAATGATTATATCGAGATCGAAACAGCACTTGATTTAACCAAGTACCTTGCTGAAGAAGATGAAATCATAGTGTGGCATGCAGTTTTGATGAACCTAGTAACCAGGGATCTTGTTTCTGATGTGAACAACCATGATATATATCCATTGTTAAAGGTAAATTCTTTCTTTGTTAGATGGTTTTTACAAATAATTCTTTTGTTTCATCTTCCTTCCATATTTTAGATAGCATCTGTGAAACTAGTCTTTCCCAAAATAAGAGACTGTTAGTTCTGTATATATCCATTTCCTTAGGAACAGTTACTTATTCTTAGAAGAAAATACCTTGGTCAGAGAACTGCCCTAGGAGATGTAGATGAGAGAAGGTGCTGAGTTCTTGCTGAGGTGTCAATGTGTCTTAAGAAACCAGAAGTGGATGGAAATGGTATACTTCTCTTTTTTTATAAAGAAAGGATAGTGTCTGTTAACAACTGTTTTCCTGAAAGATTGTTGGTAAACAGAATGACTTTTCACGGTTCTGTATCCATAATTTATATACTCTGATTTATGAGGCCAGCACTTAAAACCAGAGAGCTGTATTTCAGAAAAGTAAATATTTTGAAGCTGTTTTTGATGTTGGGAAGAGAGATGCGGAAATTAGAGTTAATGAATGAAGAAATGACTGTGCCATCTTGTCCTTATAAAAGGGGAAAATAGCATCAATAAAAGGGGAAGTTTCTATTATTAGGTCTTTAACGGTGATCCAGTGATGATAAGATAGACGGCATAGGAGAAGCCTAGGTTTGGGAGCCGCCTCTCGGAGACTTGGGGACCGCAAACAAAATAGCAGATGTGTCAGGTGATGGTTTCAAGTGAGTTTCCAGGGCCGTCTGAGAGCAAAATCACAAGCGCCTTGGAGTTCCAGACTTTCTTCTATCTAGTGTCTGAAGTGCTGATGTGAACGTACTTGAATGTGGGCATAGTGACCAATAGAAGGTGCTTGGATGTCTGTGGGGTTGAGGTGGCTCATTGATGACATCTGATCCTTGGCCCATGAGTAAAGAAGTAAAAGCTCACTTTTGTTTTTAGAGAATTTTCAATGAATAATACTATTCTGAGGGATGTATTAGTAAATATATGACTGTTAAAATGCTGTTATTTACCAGTCAGCAGCTCAGTTAAAGAAATCTTATTTTGGATCCAGGGTTTACATTGTCCAAGGCATAAATCAGTGTTCCTTGTTTTCATATTTATATATACATATATAAGTATATATTTATATATATATATATATACACTAAGCATGAAAGTTTGAAAGTGTCAAGGTAGAAAGTTTGTCTTATATTTTCCCCTTTTTTCCCTCTATTTTAAAGACAACTAGAAATTTTGGGGTGATAGTAAATGATAAAAGTGGCTAATACTGACTAAGCTCCTACTATATGCCAGGCATTGTGCTTATACACATCATATTGTCTACATATTGCTTTCATATGAAGAAAGTGAACCTAAAATGTTTAAAAAAATCAGTTAAACATTTAGTAACAAATGAAGTTTATTTCTGAAGAAATATCAGTCACCTCTCTGTTAATGTCTTTTTAGACAAAGGGAAAAGCAGTGCAAATTGAGTGTTGTGAGCAGAACTAACTAATATTCTCTTTATTGTTTATAGAAGTATCTGTTGAAGAGACTTATCTCAATATGGAATACTTACTCAACTATAATTCGTGAAAATGTGACAGCCTTGCAGGAGGACTATTTAGCTCTGTAAGTACTTTCTGAACAGTGACAATTGAATTAAATGATTCATATTAATGGATAGGTTTCCAGATTCATAAAATAAGATCCTAATAGTTAACGATTCACTGAGAGATTTGTGTGCAATTTGAGAATAGTAGCTTTGAGATTGGTGAGCTACGTATATCTTAATGGGAAATAGTAGTTAGGGATATTAATTTATCTGCAAAGCACATACATGTACACATAGTTGTTTATAGCTTTATATTCTCAACTATTATGCTACTGGTTGAAATCTTAAGGAAGTTGTACTATTGGTGAAGAGTTGTGCTAAGCAAAACCAGCTAATACAAATGAAGGGTATGGGAAGGCCACAGAGGAAAACATTCCACTCTGTGTATTATTGATGAAAGAGGGGAAAGTTCCATTGTGTACGTCAGACAGAAATTCTAACATTATGCAAATATGATAAGGGAGGTTGATGACTAATGATCAAATCATCAAATATGATGACCGACAGTGACCTGTATCAGTTATCGCCGTGTGAGCATGAGTGAGTATTGTGAATGACTTTAGTTTGGTGGGGTGTAAGCCAGAATGCTAGTTTGGGAAGGGGGTGAAAGGCAAAACAGGGCTGCAGGACCCTGTGACAGAAGGTAGGCTGGGCTTCCAGATTTAGAGAGGAAATTTGTGACCAACGATGAATGGTGCAGGAATTCCATCTACAGCTCTAGTCAGCATCAAGCTGAAGTTAATTAGACCAAGCAAGGAATACAAACTATGCAAAAGGTGATTATCTTCTCTCACGAGCATCCTTCTAAAGGGAAGAGATTTTAGCCTGGAGAGTGTGACTGGAAGAACACAGAGTGGTTTTACAGATGGATGGAAGGCACGGGGAGGAGCTGGAATGGAGAGTGGATAGGCAAGTTGTCTGAGCGAACAGAAAGGCCCAACCAGGCAGCACCTTTGTTAACCAGCTGTGGCCTTGGCTCTGCTACACTGGCCTGAAGCGACCTGTTTTTTGTAGCATCCTGGGGCCAACCTCGGGAGTTAGATTGTGTTTCCAGAGAATTGCTTCTTGCTGCTGCCAGCTTGGGAAGAGTGGAGAGGGGGTGAATGTGTAGTGAGTGATCAGAAGGCTTCCACCCCTGATCTTACTACTGCTGCTTATCAGAAGGTCAGGCCAGGCAGAGAGCAAACCAGAGGGAGGGTCGGACAAAGGAGATTTGGCTCTTGTACTTTCTGGAAAACTTCTGACCCTTCTGAATTTCTTTACCTCTGACTCCAAACTGCAGGGTGTGAGGAGTCACACATCACACTTATCTGGATTTATCATTGTTCCTCTCCGTGTTCTTTTGAACCCACTTTCTTTGCAATCATAACATGTACCTCTGCTCAACTATAAAAACAAAAACAGAAACCTCCGTTCCTTTTCTGGGGATGACATTAATAGCCAGGAGGAGCAGAGAGAAAAATGAAAGCTGAAGTGAGGGAAGGCATAGTGTCAGAGGAGAGAAATAAACCATTCCCTCTGAGAAAGAACTGTACTTTTAAGTGTATTATATCAGATACTCTAAAGTCATGTTTTTAAAATCTGTAAGCCAATTGTTGTATGAGAGAGAAAAAATAAATTGATAACAGATGTGGTGTGTGTGTACACCCGTGTGTGTTTGAGGCAGATGAAGGATGGCAGTAATTTATTTCTTACCTTCAAAAAACTACCAGCCTGAGAGCTTATTTGGTGCCTAAGAGCGTCTCAGCAAATATTTCCCTGAACCTTAAATATAGTTGCCATCCACAAAGGCTATTTTTTAACAAACCTGATATTATTGGAAGGATGTTTTTAAAATACCCATCTTTTTATGAAGCACATATTCTTGGAAGCAGAAAAAAATAAATGTAGTAATGAAAAATAAATGTTCTTTGACTTTTCCTTCAAGAATATCACTGGAAAAAGTTTTTGGAACTGCATGTTGGTTGGGTCTTGAGGACTGTCTTCAGCTGTCCAGAGAACTCTTCAGAAACTGGATGAACCATCCAGAGAATGAGTAAGAGTCGTATTGTAAATGCCCTTCTTTTTGCCCTGTTTGAGCACCAACAGTGTCTCTCAATGTTTCATGCCTTTACTCTGGGAAGGAACATTTTGTTTTTACTTACATAATCTCTTTCTCTCTTTATTTTTTTTCAAATATCCTTTAAAAACAGATACACGCACACAGAGCATTGTCTCATGTGGGTCTGTGCATGACAATCAGTTCAGTCCAGTCGCTCAGTCGTGTCCGACTCTTTGCGACCCCGTGGACTGCAGCATGCCAGGCCTCCCTGTCCATCACCAACTCCCGGAGTTTACCCAAACTCATGTCCATCGAGTTGGTGATGCCGTCCAACCATCTCATCCTCTGTCGGCCCCTTCTCCTCCCGCCTTCAATCTTTCCCAGCATCAGGGTCTTTTCTAGTGAGTCAGTTCTTCGCATCAGTGGCCAAAGTATTGGAGTTCCAGCTTCAGCATAAGTCCTTCCAATGAGTATTCAGGACTGATTTCCTTTAGGATGGACTGGTTGGATCTCCTTGCACTCCAAGGGACTCTCAAGAGTCTTCTCCAACACCACAATTCACAATAGATCAGAATTTATACACTGAATTCTCACGCAGGACCTCTCATCACCAGTGCATCCCCTAATAAGCACCTGTGCTTATTTCAAGTCTTATTTAGGTTGTTCTTTATGGTTATTTATTCATATATATAAAAGTGCATCAGTGCATCTCTATGTTTTCAGCCTCATTGACAGCTGAGACTCATATGCTGTCATTTTGGTGTTATTATATTACCTTGAATATATGCCCTCAGATGGACTCTTAGAAAATGTGATAATAATATATGAAATCAAACAGAATTATCAACATACACTGTTTGTACTATTCTAATTTGTTTCTCCCTCAAATCTCCTTAGTTTCTAAACTAATTTAATGACCTCAAGATATTAGTGTGAATGACAGTTTTCACAGTTGCTTTTCTAGATTCCAGCTTTTGATATTCATATCTGAGATTTTCTAGATATGAAATATGAAAATGAAAACAGATTTTCATTTTTTCTAGATTTATACTTCTAAATATGTGACAACCTAGATTAACATATAACTTAACTACTATGAAAAATATCATTGCATGTTATATCTTACAGAATACCTAATCCAATTAAAAATGTTATTTTATGTTATGGCATTGCCTTGGGAAATGATAAAGAATGGGATTTTTTGTTAAAAATCTACAATAATAACACAAAGGAAGAAGAAAGGATTCAACTGGCTTATGCAATGAGCTGCAGTAAAGATCCATGGATACTTAACAGGTGATTATTGTAACTTAACTTGAAAAGGTTCTTGGTGGAGGAATGCAGTTAATAAACTAAAGGGAGAAAAACAGACATGAGCTAATGTAAGAATTAATATGAAACATATTTGTGCACCACTAACTTAGAACCATATGGGATTTTTAACTCCACTTATATAAATGTATTCTTTCTGTTGAATAATTTTTACATATTTATTTTCTGCCAAATGCACTTTTGCAGATATATGGATTATGCCATCACTGTGTCTCCTTTCACTTTTAATGAAACAAATGTTATCGAAGCTGTTGCAGCATCTGAAGTTGGCCGATATGTTGCAAAAGACTTTTTAATCAACAATTGGCAAGCTGTGAGTGAAAGGTGAGGAGGAAATGTGAAACCGCCCTTTTCTTTAGGTCATCGGTCTGGTACTAGTGGCTCAGCTTTAGTCTGGCTAGGACCCTAAAGGCCTTCACGTTGCCTAGAAAAGTGGTTGTTTTTCCTGCTAGTGTCTTACCACACACTAGCTTTGTGGAAGATAAGGTCACTTATCCTTGGTTTTGGCTTTCTTTGGGAATGTAGTTTTGTGTGAGATACCTATCTACCTCAGTTTCCCCATTGTGCCCACTAAGAATCTTGTCTTCAGAGACACAGATTAGAGTAAGTCCTGTATTTTGGTATGAGTGTACATTTTCCATTTTGTTTTGTGAAGTACATCGCTGTATCTTTAAGAAACAACATGTGCAACATATTACTACATATGCTTGGATGCTGAGCTTGTGTCTTTTGTCAGATTCCCTTTATATATTTGGGTTCCATATTATTGAACGTTTTATGTCTTTCACCTTTTAAGATTAAATATGCTTGCTTCATAGCCTGTCAGGTAAAATAGACATTGAAATGCACAAGTCAAATAAGTTACCTTTAATAATTGTTCTGTCTAGAACATGACTTAACCATACATTCTTTTTTGGGAGGGGGAGGGAATCAAGCTATTTTACTGATGGTCTTCGGCAGACAGTCAAAGGGCAGGAAGACAATGAGATCCAACATCCTTCTCCTGGCTGGAACCTCCCCAGCTTCACAGTCACTGCAAGCCTTAACCATGCCTTCTTAAAAGCCCAGAATTAAGACACAGCTTCACGTTACTTCCCAGGCTCAGTGCTTCCTAGTGCCTGGCACTTGCGTGTATTTGTAAGTGTTGAGGATTTTTCACATGGTGCCTGTCAGTCCGGGGTCACATCCACACTCAGACAGGTGAGCATAAGCACAAACCTGACACTTTCTAATGTTTTGTGCTTAGTCTTGTCTGACTCTTTGCAACCCCAGGGACTGTAGCCCACCAGGATCCTCTGTCCGTGGAATTTTCCAGGCAAGAACACTAGAGTGGGTTGCCATTTCCTCCTCCAGGGGATCTTCCCAACCCAGAGATCAAACCCAGATCTCTTGTATCTCCTGCATTGGCAGGCAGATTCTTTACCACTGACCCCCCTGGGAGACAGAGCTTTGTAATTACCTGGAGTGGCTGATACATCTAAAGGCTTCCAAGCCCACCTACTCCTTGAAAATCAGAATCTGTCAGAATAGGGTGCAAAATCTGTAGCTTTCATTAGTCCCCTGAGTAACCCCAGTGTAGTTTAACAAGGAACTGATTGGCACCAGATTAAAAAATTAACTAAGGCTGCACTGCTCAATACACTGGCTACTAGCTAACATATGGCTATTTAAATTTAAATTAACTGCAATTAAATAAATTTAAAATTCAGTTCCCAAGTTGTACCAGCCTTGTTTTAAGTTCTCAGTGTGGCCAGTAGCTACTGAAATAGACAGACCAGAGAGCATTTCCATCCTGGAGAGAATTCGACTGCACAGCCCTGCTCTGTGGGGTAAAACAGCCCCTCGATTCATTTTCCCTCTCTTTCTATAACATACAAAGCACATCTAACTAGTGAAGCTCTTGCAAATGGCTTTGAGCAACCTATGGGAAAGATTGCTCTTAATTTAAATGTGTTTTAATTTTTATCCCTCAGAAGAATTTTTTCTGCTTTTGGAGAACAGAAGCATGTTTGCAATACTCTAAAAAGTCCATTGTCTAGTAATTTATTTAAATGATCTCACTGTATTAAACACGAGTATAGAAGGACTTCCTTTTTTAAAAAAAAGAAAAACTCTAAATGGATATTTCATCATCCCTGAGAAGTTCTTAGAATTATAAATGCATTCACTTTTAACCATGGCTTAAATTTTTTTATCTTTTAACAAAATGCTATGTTCATAAAATAGAGCTTTTCTCTTCTGTTTATGATAAATTAATCTCACAGTTCACTCCTCTTGCCCATTCTGCTACAAAACGTCTTTGAGACTCAAGTAAATTTGCCTTCTACATCTAAAAGATTTATTTTTAGGATTCAATTTATAGTCACCAGTCTTGCTGAATTTTGAAAATGACTTTGAATAGTAATAATATATATGGATTGTAAGAGGACATAAAAGTTCAAATTAATAATCAAATGTTTTCTACATTGAAATTGCACCAGGATGCTTACCTTATTCTTTGTATATCAGAATATTTACTTATCACTTATTAAACAGTTATATTTGACATGAATAGTTGTATGTCACCAGTCATGTCATGTATGTATGTCATGTCATTTATGTCACCATATCATAAAATGATATGAGACAAGTAAACAAATGCTATGACAAATTTTACATTTATCTTATTTAAGTGAAAAGGATTTATTCTGAATTTGCTAAAATGTGACTAATTACTTGAGTTAGCTCTGAAACTCCAGAGTGTTTCACTGAGCATTGTTCATGGAAGATACTGACAAGCCTTCTGCGAACATCGGAGGCTGTAGCCCAATCAGTTTGGAAACTATTTTAACTCCCTCAAATTCACAGTGTATGTTAGCATCATAAAGCTCTGAGAAGCCCGGCAGAAGGAAATCTAGCATCTAGCCCAGGGTCTTGTCACTGTGATCCTGCTTTGCACTGTCTGTGCTAACATAACCTGTCATTCTTCCAGTAGATCAGTTGTTCCAAAACAAAGACAGATGAGAAAGTAAATTTTCTAACCCTCTCATCTGGAACTGAAACTAGACCAACATTTATTTATTGGTGGCCCACTAGTTAACTTTTAGGCCTTGGTTAAATGTTGTATAAAATGGAAGATGTTGTATGTGATCAACTGTAAGGTTCTTTCTGGTTATAAATGTTCTAGTTTTTCTATGCCAAGGCACAGTTAGGTCAAGCTGTTGTAGGGGTTGTAAAGTGATGAAGACATGGTGTCTGATAAATGTTGCAGAGGACAGATGGAAAGGGGATTGAGAGAAGAAGGGGGCTTGAGTTGGAAGAAATCACCTTCTGTGAGGAGGGGAGGACACCAGTAAATGCCAGGAGGGCAGGGCTGAGACTCTGACTTGGGACAGGCCTCATAACTGGCTGGAGCGTCAGGCCCTGGAAAGGAGGAGGTAGGGCTGGTCAAGCGAAACAGTGGAGACGCTGCCAGTAGCAGTCCAGGGACATCTGTTTGCAACTGAGCCCAGAGTTCTTCCCAGGGAGCCGGATCTGAAAATGTATGCAGGACCCTTTGCCTGAGTGAAACGGTTTCCTCTTGCTTCTCACTCCCCTGTTCAGGGCTCTGCTCCGGCAGCCGTGGGGCATTTAGTTCATTGTTAGATGAGCGATCTTTTGGATCCTGATCCCAGTGAAGGAGCTTTCATTAACCATAAAGACATCTTTCAGGTTACAGAGAAGTCACTATATACCTGCAGCTGTGGATAGACCCTATGAAAGAATGTGTAAATAGACGTAAAGCAACACGACTTTTTGTGATGTTTTATTGGATGCGGTAGAAAGGTTATTTGTATTATCCTTGTTACCTTGCTTTTGAATTTTATAGAACACTGTAGACTTTCTGGCCTATTGGAAAATCCTAGTTTTACTTGAATATAAAATACAAAGTATCATCTGTTTCAAACTGAATAAACCTTACCCTCTTCTTCCTCAAATGCTTAATTTCTTCTCCAGATAAGTTTTCTATCTTCCCAAAACTTTGTGCCATTTTATTTACTTATTTAATTTTTTTGTGCCATTTTAATTGGCAGCACTTTTCTCTTTCTTTTTTTGATTGCTCCAGTTTATTTCTTTAAATTTATTATTCATTATATATTATATAATATATATGTATAATAATAATATATGAATTATAATAATATAAATTATATACATATGTTGGCTGAGCCACACAGCATGCAGGATCTTTGTTCCCCCACCAGGGATCAAACCTGTATCCCCTACAGTAGGAGCATGGAGACCTAACCACTGGACCACTGGAGAATTCTCTCCAAATATGTTATACTGGCTGAAGTCTTAAGCTTAAAAACTTACACTCATTTTCTCTTTACTCTGTTGTATTTCATGATGGGGAACATGGAGCTGAAAGGGTTAGATTGGAACAACCTGGAGAATTAAGATGTTATCAGAGTGGTGTGCTGAGGCACTGGAGGGCCCACTCCCATCGCCTGTCACTGGGTCAGGCTAGATGCCTGAGTGCCTCCATGCTCGTTGCAGGAAGCCAGATGCGGCAGGAGAAGGGATGGGAGGGAAGGAGGAAGGCGGAAGGTGTGGAAGGTGAGATGGACTAACGTTCCCCATCACCCTGGCTAGCACTGAATGTTGTCAGTTTTTTGAAGGGGCAGCTATACTGACAAACACTGGCTCCTGCCTTCATGTTAATACACTTGACTACTGGCAGGATAAACTATTTGTAACATATATTTTCTTGTTGAGTACTATTTCAGAGAGATTACTCTCTCAACAGGAGTGAGAAATCATCTGTTTCAAAAATATCTCCTCTTGAAACTTTCAAGAATAGGAAGGAATGAAGAGTGTCACGTACCCTGATAGGTGCTTCAACACACATAATCGCATTTAATCTTCACACCAATGCTTTTAACTATATGTGATTCCCCATCTTGACAATTTATAAGTTGTCCCAAGGTGTCTTCAAACCCAACTCAGCTTTTAGCATAGCTTTTCTCTTTATTTGGTAGAAAAATCACACATTTAGAAACGTAAGTAGTTTTCTTCTTTTTCCTACCCTTTTTTTTTTTTTTTGGAACTCAGTTTCTTTGCAAATTTTGTCAAATTTCTTGAGTCATTTCACAGGCTTTTTATACTTGGTCAACAAAAATGAAGAGCTAGGAAACATTTCCTCTTTCCCCATAGAAACAGGTTTGGTTGCCTGAATTATATGTAGACTGTCTCTAGTTTTCCACTTTGCTGAAGTAGATTGTTTACCTTACAGCTGGGAACTTACAAAAGAATGCAAGCACTGTTCTCTTCCACCTTTGTCATCCAGATGCAGTGTTAACTCTCAGGAATTTTAGTTTCAAGTATACATTTTGGGAGTAAGTCAGGTTTGTGAATCAACTATGAATAGGGCAGCGGCAATTCAACTCTTTCTTGTCCGTTCCATCGTATTAACCTATTTTAATTTTCTTTCTTTTTTAATGCATCCAAAAGCCTTTCTTTACTTTTTTAACCACAGCAGCACTCCGAGCAGGTATGTGTCACCGTCTTTGCACAGCAGTGCTTCGTGGCTGTTTGTCAGGCAGTTCTTGTCAGGCGTTCAGGGTCACCTGTTTCCGTGGCCAGGCCTGTCGAGGGGGCTCGAGGAGACCCAGAGTACTTAGCCATCAGGGAGCGCCAGCATTTCCAGAATCTCTGAAGATGCGGCTCCTCTTTCCAAAAAGCACAAATACAGACGTTTCAGTAAGCTCTCAGGGCATTTTAGTCAGAGCTTCTGAAACCGATTCTATATTAACTACATTTTTAAGGAAGGTACTCTGAATATTTCCTTGTTCTCTTTTAAATTTTCTTAATTTTGGATGTGTGACATCTATTCTAACTCCTTCATTTTAAAAGATAAGAGCAGTTGCTATTACTGATTTTAAAAAGAGCTTTTTATATTTAAATGAAACTTTTAGAAAACCATGTGTCACAGAAATCAGTATTTAACTATAATTACTTCTTTGTGGTAATAGACTTTTCTACAGCATGAATTTTCTATTAAAAGATGAAGCTAAACTACTTTGTATATGGTTTTGCTTAGATTTGGGAGACAGGGATTCATAGGGACTATTTGCTCAGCATTTACCTGCTGTACAACTTTGTCTTACAAAACATTTTCCTCTCCTGATTAGTGTTTTGTTGCTTTGTAGGTATGGAACGCAATCATTGGTTACCCTGCTATATGTAATCGGGAGAACCATAAGTACAGAATCACAGATCTTAGAGGTAAGTAGTATAGATATTGTGAATTATGATAATGTAGAAGCCATTTTTATGTAATTTGGAGTTGCTAAAATTAAAAATAATAAGCTTATCTGAACTGTTACCTTCTGTGCTCTGTTGATGCTATTATCACTGTGCAGGAAATGTCTTTTAATTCTGCCTTGCTCCTGAAATAGAGGCCATTCTTATTCATGGAGGGTTGGATTTCACAGTTTCTCATCTGCATCATTCCAGTAGATTGTGGCCTCCGCACCCTGGTCCTATCTTCCCTCCATCCCATCCATCATAGTGTTGCCGCTCATTGCCCTGCTCCCAAAGCTTCAGTAGCTCATCATAGTTCTCACAAAAAATTTAGAAGTCTTTTCATTAGCACACAAGACCCTTCATAATCTGGCTGCCTTACTCTCCATCTTAATTTTTGCCCTCTTCATGAACTGTTTCAGAGAATAAGAAACATAGGCACCTCTGCACATATTTCCTTTAGTTACACTGTTCCACTTAGAAATTTTCTTAAATTATCATATCATTGCACATTTCCTGGATTTCAGAAGCACTGTACCTTCTGTCTCATAGCCTCCTCATGCCTGTCTTTGGCTGGATAATTTCTAATCATCCTTTTAGACCGTGCTCCAAACACATACTCTAGGACATTTTTAATTAACTGATTGATACCCTCTCCTTCATGCATGCAAATCATCCTATGTAGTTGTTACTGTGAGAGAGAAAGAACTGATAGTGTCTGGAGGAATGATCTTTGCTTGAGTTTTGGCCTGCCTGAGGCTGAGCTGTCAGGACCTAATTTATCAGGGATTCCCCAGACGAGAGAGTGAGGGGCACACCCAAAAATGCTGAAATGACAACTCCTAGAAGCAAAACTGAGTTGTGTTGATCTCTTCAAAAGTGCCTCAGTTCAACTTTGTGTCTACAGAACCCAGTGTTGCTGTTGTTATTGAATGAGTGAGTAAAGTTTGTGTAACTTTAGCACTCCCCAAAGTTCTAAACCTCTACAATCACTGATGGTTCATTTCTTTCAAAATGCAAAAATGGATTTAGTAGTGGTTCAGTTATTGCAATTTTGAAAACAAGTAAGTTAGCTCCCATGAATATCCTTATCAAAAAGCTGTTAACACCCAACAGTCCTATTTGTATCAGTTCACATGGTAATATCGAAAATAATTACTAAAAAAGGAAAATGAAAGTCACATGAATCCTTTTCCCTCCATACCAGCAGTTTTTAATCCACTCTTAACGTCTCTTGACCTGGTCTTTCTACTCTACCCTGCTGGAGCCTGGCCTCTCTCATGCTCTCAAGCACCTATGAAGCCCCGTCCACTGTCCACAGCCCCACACTCCCCTCTTTGCTCCCTGCAGACACCCAGTCTTGGGCAGTGCTGCTGGCATGCGGCTCCCACTGCCTGCCAGGAATGCCCAGGTGTGGGGGATAGAGAGAGAGAGGTTTGCTCTTGTTCCCTTAATCTACTTTTTCCTAGAACCTTACTTTTTTTCTGCATTGTAGTTAGGCATGACAACTCTATTGTCACTTAATTTCAAATATATTAAAAGTTTAAGTGACCTTTTGTGAAGTTTGTTGGCTCTGTGGTAAAGAATCTACCTGCCAATGCAGGAGACTGGGGTTTGATCCCTGGGTCAGGAAGATCCCCTGAAGAAGGAAATGGCAACCCACTCCAGTATTCTTGCCTGGAGAATCCCATGGACAGAGGAGCCTGATGGACTTTAGTCCATGGGGTCGCAAGAGTCAGACAAGACTTAGCGACTAAAAAACAGGAGCAATTTAGTTCAGTCGCTCAGTCGTGTCTGACTCTGTGCGACCCTGTGGACTGCAGCACGCCGGGCTTCCCTGTCCATCACCAACTCCCAGAGCTTGCTGAAACTCATGTCCATTGAGTCAGCGATGCCATCTAACTGTCTCATCCTCCGTCCCCTTCTTCTCCCGCCAGGAGGAGAAACAACAGGGTACACTATCATTTTATGGTAATGTATGTTCTGAGTTCTTATCCAGTGACACAGAAATAGACTTTTGAAATATATCTTATCCACCACTTGGGATCTGGCTTGTATGTAATATTGGAACAAATGTTCTTATAACTGAATGCTTGACTTGACTCAGTGAAGGAGTTTAGCCAATGGATGATCCACTATCAATACTCTTAAGGATAACATCTGTAAAGAAACAGATGCTGTATCCTGGGTTTGAGCTCTGGAAATTATGTTATTTTTGAGAAGAGGGAGGGTCTCCTGTATCTCTGTCCCCCAGTCTGGTCTAATATCCAACGGGAATCAGGAAATCTTTGTTGAATACCTACTCTGTGCTGCCGGGGGAATAGAGCAGCAAATAAAGCAGACAGATTTTCTACTTCCTGGACCTTCCTCTCTACATCGGCTTCTTCAGGACAGGTGTATTCTTCGTCACATTTTCTCAGTCGCAGTCTCCTCAGGGACACACATTTCTACTCATTCCAAGGGCCATTCATCCATTTCGAGTTCACGCTACTACCTAACATGAACTGTGGCTTGCTGTGTCTAAGTGAGAAGTTCAGTTACACTGATGGACTGACCATCTATTTGTTCTTTCAGCTGCAGCAGTTTTGCAGTAACATGTTGGAGGAGCACCAGAGACTCACAGTTCAGGCCAAATTACAGACAATAAAGAACGAAAATCTGAAAAACAAAGAGCGAAGTGCCAGGATAGTGGCGTGGCTACGGAAAAACACATAATTTAGTGGTGACTTTCAGCCTTTGACTTGCATATTATAATGTGCTCACAGTTTTGTCTTCCAGGATTCTGAGTCTGGAACACCACACGTTTTGTTGTTTGTATTTCAGTCACATCTGCTGCTCAGAGTCCTGTTCCTCCCACGTCGTCACATTTGGCCCCGTGGCTCAGCGACTGTTGGGGATTTGGCCAACCATACTGCATTTCTGGGGAAGATTTTGCTTCATGTCAGGCTACAAACCACATAATTTACTTTAAATGCCTTGGAAAAACAAATTTACCTTGCAAAATTTCGTTTATTCTGTTGTGAAGGCCAATGGAATATTACATCATTAGCTAAATGAGAGCATTCTTTTCAGAGGGAAACACAAATTTGCAATACTCCAGGGTTTATTTAGTTCAATACTGAAGAGAGTAATAAGCAAATGACACAACAGTGTAATGAAACAGAAACCAGAAAAATATTATTCACTGGCAGACAGAAAAGCCAAAGAAATACAAATTTTAAAAAGAACAATTTTATGAGCCACGTTAAGTGCCCCAGAGGCAAGAAACGAGTCTCCTCCTGCCCCCGTCGCTCTCCCCAGTGTCTGCTGCACTGTCCCACACTTTACTGGCTACTGAACCTCCTGGTGTCACAAAGAGACTGGGATCATAGCACCCAGGAAGTCCCCGTAGGATCACTGTTGTGGAGACCAGATGGAGACCAAGGCTCTGCTGAAGCTCTGGACTGTATACTTCACCTGTGGGATGGACTGTCTTTCAGCCAAAGTGTAGCCGCAAAAATAGTGATGTCAACAGACAAATAGAAATCATGGGCTCATCTCTAGTGCAAAGGAAAATGGTCAAAGAAAGAGAAATAGAACTAAAGGATTAACCAGAGCATCATCTTTACAACTTTGCACTCATGGGGATTAAGTTTGAAATGTGGTTTTGATTGGCCAAATTGAACCTGTTTGTAGTCTGGACAACTTGAAACATTGTCGTCAGTCCCAGTGTACAAAATTAGCTCAGTTTTGTTACCTCTGATTTAATCAGGACCGCCCCACTCTAGACTTCGTGTGTCTACTGTTTAATTCTCATTTAATTCTGATTTTGTTTTTATAGAATGGGGGAAAACTACAGATCTCCTATCTACCTCAGAGTGATGCTGTAAAGATTAAGGATGAAAAGCCTCTATTTTTTAAATTTAAAAAACAATTGGAATATAATTGCTTTACAATGTTGTGTTAGTTTCTGCGGGGCCACAACATGAATCTGCTGTGTGTATGCTTATGCCTCATCTCTCTTGAGCCACCCTCCCACCCCTCCCATCCCATCCTTCTAGGTCATCCCAGAGCACTGGGCTGAGCTCCTTGTATATAGCAGCTGCCATTTAGAAAAAAGCCTTTAAATATGTCATATAAGCTCAAGGCAATGTGATCTAAGGGTTGTTTTTTTTTTTCCTGTTTCTTCTTTAAGTTAATACAGTCAGAAATTAATGTGCAAGGACAAAAGCTCACTTTCATATTCACTTTCCAAGAAGATTCTCCCTGTGAGGGAGTGGGAAACTATGGAACGTGAGAACAAACCAAAGCCGTCTGTGCAGACTTAATCGTGGATTGTGGGTCCAAGAGAGTGTTCTTAAATTCAGCAATTTAAAATGTAGCAATAAACTGCCTCCATGGCTTCGAATTATTGCTGTGCATTATCTCCCTGTGTCTTTTTAAAATGTGCAATCTCTATTTCCTGTGTTTCTTCCAATCATCCATCTCATCTTTCCATCACCGAGTCACATATCCACTCCACTGCTCTCCTCCTCCCTTCCTCTCCTCCACCTCCCCCCGCCCTCTCCCCGTGGGTCCCCGTCCTCCTCCTCCCTTCCTCTCCTCCACCTCCTTCACCCTCTCCCCGTGGGTCCCCGTCCTCCTCCTCCCTTCCCAGTCCCCTCGGCCGCCCTCCCCCTGGTTGTCCACGGCCCCTCTCCTTGGCCTTCCTCCCCTACTGGACGCTGACGCTTGTCAGCAGGTGATGCCAAGCCCTGATCCTACCAGAGGAGCACCCTGGGTGCTTCAGACCATCTGTGGACCAAGTCCTATTATACCATAGCTTCTGTCGTCATTATATAGCACTGAAAGTGTTTATTCAAACCCAGTGCCCAAATATTTTGCTGATAGTCCCTCTAAATATGAACAAGAGTTTTGAACAATATATACTTTCTTGTACTTGGATGAAGCCAGTTATTCCAGATAAGCATTTTATTATTAAATCATACCTTATATTTAGTATAAAAAGAAGTAATTATTGATTACTATGATAGCAGTAAGTCAGGCAGTGACACTGTGGCAGATTTGTCTAAATGACAAATGACTTTAATGACCAATCAACCAGCTTATCTACTAGCACCACAACTGTAACACAATTTTTTGACCCATCCAGTTTGCTTTACACTGTTCATCCTAAAACAGGTTCATAAGATACACAATGTATTCATGGTTTTTTTCAACTTGACAACCAGAAATTAAAGTTTTCCTTACAATCTTATCCTTTTTGGCTCCTCAGACCCATTTGGTGACTTTCCATTGTTGACCTTAAGTGAAAGAACAAATGCCTTATTCTTGAGGACTCTGGATGCTCTGTAACTTAGAGCTCTGGGGCCAGTTTGTATAGCAATTTATTCTGAAGAAGGAAGAAGCAAAATGAGCTTTTAAAAGCTCTGCTTGATTACTTTTCCTGTTTACTCCAGTAAATGCTATCTTTTTTCCCATCCAGATTCTAGTAGGATCATCCCAAGCTTTAAGAGAGGCTTAAAAATAAATATAACTGCTCCTTTGTATGAACGAATTATGTAGCATAGTCAGCAGCATTAGAAACTACACATAAATGGCCTCCAGCTCGATCTTCTGTCCAATCACACAACATTCAGCAAAGACGTTCTTCACTGCACATGTGTTGAAAAGTTATTTGGACTCTTCCTTTCCCCTGCCTTTCATAAACAGGTCGGTCCTAAGTGGGAACTGAGGGGCAGCTGGAACAGGGTGTAACAGCTTGAGTAGGTGAAGAGGGAGCCCAGCCAGCAGGGAGCCGCTTGCAGGGCGAGTAGAGCGGTCACACAGGGCAAGGAGCTAGCTTGTGACACAGAGCGCCAGAGCCCACACGGGCTGAGAGAGGGGGAGTCCCACTGTGGGGTGGAGGGGACGTTCAGCGCAAGGCATCAGTGCCTGAGGAGAAAGAGGAAGGTATGCTATGGGCTGGGGGAGAGGCAGAGATGGAAGCATGGTTACCACTGGGGTATGGATCAAATAAGACAATTTACACAATGACAGTAGGACCCAGATTTCTCACTGCTGGAGAAGGGAGTTGCAGATATGCAAAGGGAAAAACTAGAATGAATCCTTTGTCGTTGGGATTGAAATTGAAGGTTTTATCAGCAATTCTCAGAGTTCTCAGTAAATGGGATAGATTTACACATATGGCTCCCCAGGTGGCGCTAGTGATAAAGAACCCACCTGCCAATGGGGGAGATATGAGAGATGCAGGTTTGATCCTTGGGTTGGGAAGATCCCCTGGAGGGGGGCCTGGCAATCGACTCCACTATTTTTGCCTGGAGAATCCCATGGACAGAGGAACCTGGCAGGCTACAGTCCATGGGGTTGTAAACATACATGATCTCACACAGACACAAAATTAAAGAGATAGAAAAAAAATTTTTTTCTTGTGAGAATTCTCCATTTACTCTCTTAACTTTCATATATAATACATATAAAGCAGTGTTAATTATATTTATATTATACATTAAAAGCCTAGTATTTATTATCTCTGAAAGTCGAGATAATATATCTTTTAATCATATCTTTTGAATACCTTCAGGTAACCCCTCCATCCATGCCACTCCCCCCCAACCCCTACCTTTGGTAATCATAAAAATCTGGTCTCTTTTCCAGGAGTTGGTTAGTTTGTTTTTGAAGTGTATGCGTAGTTGCTTGGAGAAGGCAATGGCACCCCACTCCAGTACTCTTGCCTGGAAAATCCCATGGACGGGGAGCCTGGTAGGCTGCAGTCCAAGGGGTCGCAAAGAGTCGTACATGACTGAGCAGCTTCCCTTTCACTTTTCACTTTCATGCATTGGAGAAGGAAATGGCAACCCACTCGTGTTCTTGCCTGGAGAATCCCAGGGACGGGGGAGCCTGGTGGGCTGCCGTCTATGGGGCTGCACAGAGTCGGATACGACTGAAGTGACTTGGCAGCAGCAGCAGCAGCTTACTCTCTCAGTTGAGTCAGACACTTTTCGATCCCATGTCTGTAGCCTACCAGGCTCCTCTGTCCATGGGGTTTTCCAGGCAAGAACACTGGAGTGGGTTGCCATGCCCTTCTCCAGGGGATCTTCCCAACCCAGGGATGGAATCCAGGTCTCCCTCATTGCAGGCCAATTCTTTACCAGCTAAGCCACCAGGGAAGCCCATGAATACTGGAGTGGGCAGCCTGTCCCTGCTCCAGGGGATCTTCCTGACCCAGGAATCAAAGCAGGGTCTCCTGCATTGCAGGCGGATTCTTTACCAGCTGAACAACCAGGGGCAGCTCATGTTTTTAAGGTATAATTGACTAACAACACTATGAGAGTTCCTGGTTCACAACACAGTGATTTTATATTTCTGTACATTACAAAATGGCCACTACAGTAAGTCCAGTTATGATGTCACCATATGAAGATATTATAGAATTACTGACTATTCCCCATGCTGTGCACTTCCTACCTGTGACATTTATTTACTAGCTGCTAGCTTGTACCTCTTCATCCCCCTTACCTATTATTCTCCTCTCCAGTATTTCCTTCCCTCTAGCAAGGACGACCTGTTTGTTCTCTGTACCAGTGACCTTGTTTCTATTTTCTTATGTGGGTTCATTTGTCTTGTTTTTTAGATTCTCAATTTAAGCGAAATCATATATTATTTGTTTTTCTCTGACTTACTTCTCTTAGCATAATACCCTCTGGGTACATCCGTGTTGTTGCAAAATGCAAGAT